TTATTTCAGCCGCGACAGTGTGTTAATAGAAGCAATTACGGTGCACTCAAATATTATAGCACAAACTTCGTTCGAGAGAATAACATCATCGGTAAATTAGTATTTTTCATTGTAGTTTGCTCATGATCGTAACTTGTTTCTGCTGAATGCACTATATACCGGAAAACTGGCATTATACGGTAAATGAAGTTAAGGAAGCATCATTTTGTTTAGGACATGAGGACTACTTTGTTGTAATTTCACATTTATGTAGATTAGTGTACGTAAAAGCACAACACTACGATATAGGCATGCTACTGTATGATTTGTTTGAGTAGAGTAGCGCTGTGCTTTCTTTCTATCTACGTATACTATACACATTACCCTACATATTGCATCTATATCTATACATACTGTGCAAACGAAAAAAGTTGTCACGAAAGAGCGAGGAATATTTGAATGTTTTCTTTAATCGTTACCCATAGTAAAATTGTACTAAAAAAACTGGAACTACACTATTCACAAAAAGCCTATGTGAAAAATACTTTTCCTTTTTTGTAGTATATTATAATTTTAAATTAATAACGGTGTGCACAAGGCATATGAGGCCTGTACCTTTTTGTCATGCAATGTGCAGCATAATCAGAACTTCGGAAGGTATAAAATTTATAAAGGAGTAAGCTGTAAAGACAGAATAAAAGATTTTCCACATTTAACCTTTTTTTGTGAATACTATAACGTACGTACAATACATAGTTCCAGCCATTAAGCTATTCCAAACTTGCGAATCAAAAAACGTTTACGAACAATGCTGAGTTTTGAACAATGCTAAATTGAAACTCAATTAAATTGATACATAAACTGACAGTGAAGCAGAAATTTCCGGAAAAGCGCGCACTACTTTAAAAGTAACAATGCCATGGTGTAACAACTTGCTTCCTGTGGGCGGCGAATTAGTACACAGAAACTAAAAATCTCATTTGTGCATTTAGTCACTAAATTATTTGTTCTTTTGTGAGCTCTTTCGTGTAATTATGCACTTGAAACACAGTTAGCTTAGCCTTGTTAAAGAAAGATACCTATACTAATCAGATACCCTAAAATACTCGTAGGCGGACGAAGCCATCGCCAAATTGTACAGTAAAAGCATTTGCAACACATATAACTGTATTGCAAATTGATTCATTTACTGATTTTTCTCGCTGACTTCCTTGCAGTTAGCACACCGGAGAAAAGCTTTTTTTCAAGTAATGTAATTCAGTTATATTAGCTTAGTAGTTGTTAATTTCTTATCAGGTAGCAGACTGATTATCAAGTACCTCCAGAGATTTAACATGGATTGAATAGTCCAGAAATCATGAACGCATATTTTCTCGTACAATATTTTTTGAGGGTTAAGAAGTTGCATTATATATTTGTTTCATGAATGCAATACCATGGATTGACCACGCCGTAAGGTAGTTTGTCAATCATTACTCGTCAAGGACGGGGTGACTTGGATTGGATATATGCGCTGAGATGCTCCAGACACATGCAGTGACCGCGTACAGCGGATGCGTGTTTCTGCTGATCGGCGTCCACAATCCACCAGACAAATCTTGTGTACTCGTAGTACAGGATGGCATGCAGGGAACATATACATATCACGCAGGTCATTAGCCAGATGCTACAAATGTCTGGAGAAACGGACAAGACATAAATTGCTTTCTGAAGGAAGATCGATTGGCCACTTCTTTGCGCAGCATTAACCATTATGCAACAACTGGTGCCTTTCTAAAAGACGTTATCACTATTTTATAAGTTGTCCGTTTGTTATTGCTTGGCGCGCGCGCTTAGATTAGGCAGACAGGGGCTGATTGGCTAACAATATGGAAATCCTCTTCCTATCGTTTTTTTGGCAACAGCAGATTGTAAACTATGTCAGCCTAACTAACTGCAATTCCCATCGACACGATAATCTCATGCCCAATATGCCGGGTGCGACGCGTGTATCCAGCAAAATTTTGGGGCGATAGAAAGCTTGACTGCGTGCGTGACGTTAACATGTCATAAGCCATTGATTTTTTTATGAAGCATTGAATAGGCTACTGTATCCCCACCCAACATTCAGAGCAAACCGCAACATGTTTACAATAAGATGTTAAATCCCCTAATGCTCCTTGAACTTTTTATGCCTTTCAGTCAGCTCGATGTCTGACGGTTCCTTACCGGCCAACACTTTTGCTTTCAAAATATTTTTCCCAACTTACAACTACTCGTTATTTACACAGGGGTTACTTTTTAAACGGGGAGTGCACGGTCACACGGTATAAACTTCGGGTCTTTGTAATTACTCCCAAAACTGCTGTAAATTCCTCTTCGTAACTATGAGTTGTACAAAAAATTCGAATACACTTTCGGTGCATAAGAACAACACAAATATGATATATGGATATAATAATTTATTGTTTTCTCAACATTTACAACTTAACCTGTACTGCTGTTGTATAAGGCGGATTCGCTCAGGGAAATTTTAGTTTAGTATGTAGACTCTGCACGTAACGTGTATGTAACTAACTATTTCTACTGGGCAAACGCCATGTCACGTAAAAACAACTTGCGCAGTAGACACTAATTTAAGTAATATAAAATTACACAATAACAGCAATCAAAAGGTGATAAGTGTTATTCGTCGTTAACATTTTGGAAAAACTCATGATTTGGCTTCGGCAACTGGTATATAAAACAACGATTCCTTGATCAGTTAATGGCCTTAGTACGTAACATAATATAGATACATATAATTATAGCTCCTTATCACAAGTGCGATTACATTTCTCCTTAAAATTTTCATTAGTTCAGGCACCGCTATCGCTTAATTGTTGTGGTCAAATACACTGCATTATTTATTGAACACAGCGTCATCATCAAAACAAAGCGCCTGCATTGAAATGCGAGTAGAAAGGTGGCATTGCAGCACATAGACAATTTTTGTTGTGTCCGATAATTTGTTGTGTAGTTTTCATATGAAATACACACTTCGTTTGATTAGATAACTGTATGCAATTACGCGGCTATGCCATTGCCAGCCATATCACAAAAGTGCTAAATATATTTGGTATTTGTGGAAAAATGGATGAGTATGTTATCCAATTGCAAAATATACATTTTTCGTTTTAGAGAGGCTGTAGAGGTTTTGGTTTATTATTGTATATTGTATAATTTCCATATGCAACTGAAAAGTGGAAAGTGTTGGCTTTGAAGTGGCGCACAGCGGAATGCCGAACTGTAACATGAATCGATAAATTACTCCATCACTACAAACATATCGAACAAGCGGCGAAACAATTTTAAGAACAAATACAGCAGCCAAAATACTCTAAACGGCTGCTGCAGCGCACGGAAAAAAACAGTTTTCACTGTTTGCTTTTGAGTTCGTTGATGCATAGTGACGAAACATTATCCCGAAAGAGCGGAACTGATAACTATCCAGCGCCAGTGAATCGTGACGAAAGGTACCAATCTGGCTGGTCGGGCGTAATACGGAGAGGAGGCACCGCGATTGTCGGTCAAAAAGTCGGAAAGAAATGCAGCGAGCCAGTTACGTTAACTCTACTTAATGTAAAGTATATATCCTCCTCGCTCTCCCGCCCTTGCCGGTTCCCATGAAAAATATTCCCGGCACTTGTTTGCACATGCCGGAATACGAGTATGCTTACAGCAATCATGTATGATAAACCGTTAAAGTGGGAAGACAAGACTTAAACAAGCCGCTTTAAGAGACCGATAATTCAATGCATTTATTCAGGAGCGACTGCGGCATTGCGGTGACTGTGGAGCGTGCGTTTATCCAAGCCGTTTGCTACTTGTCATCCATGATCTCCTATTCTGCTGTACTATATATGTAATACAGTGTATATACTTCTCTCCATATATATGCGCCGGGCTTTTGGGAAACGGCAATTCTGGCTGTGGGGCAGTCATTGCGCGCAATTCACCCACCACAAACTGCAGTATTATTCGTTGTATAAAGAATGAGTTAGTGGCCTATAACTAGAAGGTCGTTTTAGAGCAACTTATATATTGATTGTCATCAAATGTTCTTCCTCCGTTTCCCACCGATAAATTCCCAGTTGCTTCTATTCTCTCCATTGCCACTCAAGGCGCGCGCACAGGCTTCTCTCCACTAAATCCCCCCTTTTACAACTGTGCTTTTTTCCATTTGGCCGTCGGCAATCTGTCAGTGCCAATTTTCCTTTACCCGAAAACTTTGTGTGCAGAGACGGATCTGTTTTATGCCGGCTAGCTTAAATGCTTCAGTCCCTATACGCATACGTTGAGCCGGATCATGTTATACCTGCACCGTATCCCGCAGCGTCATGTTATCAAAATGTTCCTTTAATCAGTATTAGATGATTTTGTACTTTTGTACCGTTTTTCTACAGTGCCGTGCACTGTTGCGTGAAGTGGGTTGATGGGAAAGCTAGCAGCTTCCGTGCCGCACTCTGAGCGCCGCACACTGTGCAGTACAATACATTACCCGCCGAAACCGTCCGTTGCCTAATGCTCATCCCTAATGAACGCCTTGATGTTTGGAATTATAGTTTGTGTTTGGCTAACAGAACCAGGTAGCGATGGTAAAGCTAATGTTAGCACAAACACAATGTTTTTTACCTACTTGGCACTGCAAACGTGCGGAATCCGTTTTTCTGAGTGTGTAGCGACAAGATTTGCCGTTACATAAGCGTATCATGAATAATGCTCACATCCGGCGATATATGTTGCTCAATTACCTATGTACACCGCATTGTAAGATAACCATCAATATCGATATCAATATCGACAATTGGCCATCGATAATATTTTATTGCTACTTGTATCCAGCCATGTCCTGTCTATTAGCAAATTACAAAGGACGCATTGCAAAGTTGCCGCTCATCCCACTGTACTCGTGTAAACCGCGGCTTTTGTTATTCTCACTACGGATAATTTTTCCATGGATGGTCAATTCGGTCAGTTTATTTGTGTTATTGTGTTTATAGTTTGTGGGAAATGCCTAGCCGAACACTGTCACCAGAGCGAGCTAACGCAATGTATGGAGCACGTGAAACCCATAATGCAGAATGCTACAATAGGGTTCGCAGCTAACGCCGAACAGCTGAACACAGTCTGCAAGTAAGTTATAATAGTCTGCCCTTATAAAATTGGTTTTAATACCGCTATATCTAGATGTACTTCTGATGCTACTGGTGCAACGATTTGAACAACTTAATAAATTTTGTTGCGGACGATGAAACAATAACAGCCTGAACTTTTTCAGTTATTCATTTACAAACCCTTCCGTTTACAGGCTGGAAATGGTTTATTCTGTAGACTGTAGTCGCGTAAATTTTAGATAATTCTTTTACATAATTAATGGTAAGTGAATAGTTACAGAGATACCGATATATATGTACTGTAGGCAGCGCGTCATTCCAATAAACTGTTAACGTTACAATGACAAAGAAGATCATCTGTTAATAACAGATTTGTGAACTGTCTGCTACATAACGTTAATTTAAAATGGCAACTCGCTCGGCCAACTTGTTCTTCATAGCAAAGCAAAGTAGACACTAAGTATAGTCTATACTGTGAAAAGCGTTAGCTGGAAGTGCATGTACCTGCACGAATACAAAGACTTTCTGGTAAAGCACCGTGAAAATAAAATTGTATACATAACGGTGTTTTTAGGACCCCCAGAAGCGTACATCAATTTTATATATAACATCAGTTATCCATACATACTAACATCTCCATTCACTTCAAAATATGTATAACATTATAATATATAACATTTTATATATAACATAGATAACAATTTTATATATAATATGTAGCGTACTTCAAATTATTAGTGTTCATTACACTGAATAACGCCTCCTAATATAAGGATTGAGCAATAACAGTTTGCGTGCAGATCGTATGATTATATACAGGTATACATGTTGTGTAGTGCATTCAACACAGACAAACTGGGGAGACAAACATTACTCCAGTATAGTAACTTGGTGATCTTGTTGATGGAGAGTAGCTCTTTCGATTTTGTTTGAGCCATTTGCGCCCGTCGCATGCCCAATTATAATAACGCAGAAGGCTGCATTATTAATAATAAAAGCCACATTCTAATGTGCAGGTTGTTCAATCAAGGAATGGAGTGCATTGACAGATTTGTAGCAAAATGTTTCCAAGAGTCTCAGAGGATTTTATTCAAGGAGAATATGGCAGGCGTCGAGGAAGTTATGAAGCGATTATGCACTGATGGCGAATATCGTAAAGGTAAGCGAATGGCATATATGCACAGCGCGGTACGCATAAGGACAAAGTGCATCTCCACATTGATTCTTCCCAAATCTTTCATTTCCGCCCGGCAAGTACAATCACTTGTACTGATTGCTGTTTGCATAAAAGCGTCCAGTTGGGGATTTCTAATCCATTTGTCACGTCAAAATCAACTTCAAACTCGTCACTATTACGTGTGTAGATGATCTCAACGCCCTGTAATTCTTTGGCGGTGATTTGTGTGCTGTGTTGCTGTCTTGGTAATATTCCTGCTTGCAGAGTACCTGCAACATGCTGATTGCTTTCGGAGTGTCGCGCCGCAGTATGAGGAATGTGGTGGCGCTTTCCGCACTTCAGTTGGAACAATAAATCAAAACCGGGCCACCGAAACCCAGGATAAGCTATCGCAGATGTGTGGGTAAGCTTAACTGTTGATGCCCTAACGCCGGCACTGAATGGGATGCCGGTTGTGTGCGGTGCCGCTGGATTTCTTCCTCGATTTAGTAACTATCGATAGCTATCTTTGTACACTTGTCGGCAGCAACCGGATCAGCTCCTGTTTCTCCTCAATAAGGCAAATTTACCCATTTGATACGTTTACACCATAAAAGCTAACTAGTTTCATTGCTGATCCAGAGTCTGAGTTACTGGCATTTGCGGCATAAAACGATATATAGCGGCCAGCTTTATGGACAGCGAAGCAAATTGCAAAATAGCACGTTTTAAAAGCTTGTGAACGATATCTGAATATTTACTCAGTGATTATATTGGTACATTTTTTCCATTTCAAACATTCCTTTATACTTTTTTACGTATTGAAATGTGTAATAAGAGAACATTTATAATTAGCACTTTTAGAGTAGTAACTAGTATCATATATTCTTCCAATATGTACTAATACCAAAAACACCATAATTGCAGGGTTGCCATACATAAGCATTATAATTTAGGCAATGATGTCGGCACAGACATTCTTATAAAGATTTATTATAAAGGTTGAAAAACATCGTTCTAATTATAACGCATTTGTACTAGATAAGAAAATGACAAAAAAATACACCCATGCTGCAATTAATTGCCAACAGCAATATTCATCGTCGCTAATCGCCAAACATCCAGTATTTTTTCATTACGCGATTGACGCGACTTTTTATGTATCGCACTGAAGAGAAGAAAAGTTAATGAGTATTATGTAAAAATGTATAAATAACTTGAGACGGATTATTACATGCGTTTCGATCTGTAGTAAGTGCACCAGCTAATCCGGATGTTTCGGTTGACTTACACAAACGATATATTTATGTGGTATCTTCGACAGAGCACTGCATCGATTTCTGGAGTGTGCATATGGTCTGACATCTCAACATTGCGGCGAGAACGGCAAGAGCGCATCCGAATTTCTGCGGACGTACACGGAAAAGGCCGTTGGCTCTCTGATTACATCAACTTGCAGGAAGTTCCCCGCTGGGAATAAACTGACCAATTCGAATAATCGCGTTGTGGAGATTGATGAGGAGGATGGATTGCGCGAGGTCAGCCTGCAGGACGATCTGACAACCGTCCTCATCAGCACCACCACGACGATGCGGCCCACGCGGCCATCACGGGGCGGCGGTGGTCAGGGAAAAGGCTCGAAAAAGGGCGAAGGTCGTTCGCGGAGTAAGGCCACACCGCCCCATCGTGGGGCGGGCGTTACACCCGCCGGCAGTCTGCAGGGCACTGCCGCTTCCGGTACCCGTGGCGGTGCAGCAGGTGTACAAATTGTTACTTCCGGTTTCAAAGTTTTTTTATTAATATGGTGCGCTTTATGGCATTTGAGAATCTTTTCGTCTTGGCCTTTTGGACACGTTTTTTGTTAGATCCCTTTTGTGGAAACTGGAATTTATCTGATGGTATTCCCATTTCCGGTAAATTTAAGCTATTCGTGCTGGCGATTCCGTTAAGTTGTTTGAGAATGCGATTTTGCTGTACGAAACCAAAGAAAGAGGCAGTGGATAAATAATAAAAAAAACAATGTGATTCGCCGCGTATGTTTTTCCTGAGATTTCGTTTAAAATATTCGTCCGGGAGTAATCCTAATTTTCCTTAGGAAATTTTAATTATCGCCTATTCTGATCGAAAATTGTTCGAGAATATACCGGCATGGCAAACTCAACACAAAACTTTATTTTTTCAAAAAATGGATAATCCGGTCGCAAATTACATGCCTCCATTTGTCATAAAAATGGTTTTCGTTGACAGCCGTCGCTATTGCTGCGGCATTAACGTTACACTGGTGGCATTTTTATTAATGACGTGGATCAGGGTTGTCAGTTTTTTTGCCTGACGACTCGCGCTGTGCTTAATTCGTCCAGCACAATTAAGTAATAGAACTGTTCCCAGAAGCATGCCACAGATACACAGCTACGAGTAGGATATGTGTAATATGCCGCGTAGTGCAGACGTGGTTTGTATGGTGGAAAAAAGATCCAGCAGGGATCTCACCGCGGAATAATGAATCAGTCGCGCACTGGGGACTGGCAGCGGAAGTTTAATCTAATTGCTTGGAGGACATGTGGTTAGCCTATCGTACTCCTGACCTTTGACTTCATCAACGAGATAGTTAAGAATCCCTGGCCATAATCGACTCGGAAAGCACTAATCAATCAATTGTAAGCGATGCTGAACAATTTCCTGCTTGACAAATGCTGCAACCTACATAATTGAAAAATTGTTAGAACGCGCTTTGTTTTGACCGGCGCCCAGAGTGCAGCGGGGACATATTTCCATTTGTACAAAGAAAGTAGCCGAATTCATGCGCACAGTATACGCATATAGTGCATGCACACACAGGCCGGCAAATGCAATCGATTATATTGACGAGAATATAAGCCGTTAATGACCTTTTTCAAACGCAAATCGGATTGACTATGGAATCAAATCAGTGAAAACCTGTCCGAAATTGTTAGATATGGCACAGAATGGTGCAACATGTCAAAAAGCCTTTTATCGGGTCCGCTAATCTGCAATTAAGCTCATTATTGATTTCTACACCAGACGATGGTGATTACGCTTTTGACACGATGTCGAGCATGAAGCGCAGGACCACAATAAAACATTTACTAAAACTTATAAGCCGTATTGATACATGCCTCAAGTAGCGGCTACTGTTAGTTAGAAATAAATCTTATGAATTTCCTGCTCCACATAGTGACCATTAGTCATGATTATTTTTGCTAACTTGAAAGCTTTTGTAATCACCTTAAGTTTTAATACTTACCGACCACAATGAATTCCGACCTGTTTTACTCTGTCCTCGAACAGGGGTTTAAAAACTATTATATACTAGTAATAATTTGACAAAATTTATCCGCCACCTGTACTACTTATAATTTTACTGTTTAGAACAACGTTCAGTCTTTCGTCACTAATGATCGACAGTTATAATTAGTATCGGTACATGGGCGGCTACTACGTACGGCTTCCACAAAATATTCATTCGCTAAATTAATCTCCAACCACATTTTGACTTTAAATTTAGTATATGAATCGTTTCGCAAACTAAGTACTTACTCGCATTGTAAATAACCGGAAACGGAAGCTCAAGTTCAGAATTTAAGCGTATACCAGTATTGCTTGGAAACTGGATGCAAGTCCATCCAAAGGACATCTGGTCTGAACCAGAATAAGTAATTCATTAGTTGTTGAAGTACTATTACGTACACTGGAACTGAATTAATAACGCTAACTATTATTATTGTTCTACTTAGAAAGTCCTAATTCTGACTTCTCTGCAACGTTAACGTTTTCTGGACTACAGCAATGTCTCGAAGCGCCGTGTGTTCACGATCGCGTTCAACATCCCGGGTTTCGGTAGGCAAATTTACGAACATGTGCCATATCAGTACGTGTCAAGCGCTAAATTCCGGTTTTTGATACCATGTAAAGGAACATTGTTTTACACATAGCGCCGTCTACGCAAACTTCCGCATCGAATGAACGGGAAAAGGAGCCGATCAAACCGCAGTCGCCGATCGGCATCGCGTAAGGTCAGTCATGTTTAGATGAACCACCAACCAAAACGTCACAGATTATCTACCTATAAATTTTTTAAAAATCTATACAATACAAAGATGCGCGTAAAGATACATAACTGAAATGATGTTCTACGGTAGACGTTTATTATAAAATACGTAATTTGGCACCAATGGCGCAGCGAGTAGTGCTAACACTCCTTGTTTTTAATTTCGATGTGGCCTGCATTGATGCATGTACGTATTTAGCTAACCGCGCTAATTTAAATTTCAGAGCAGTCGATGTGGAAGTAAGCGAGCATCCAGAAGTAAATCCAGAAACAAATCTCGGAGTTGCAGCCGGCCGAAACAAAAGCAAAAATGTCGATCGAAGCGCCGCAAGAGCACAAAAACAGATCGACTACGTAAATTGAAAGAAGTGAAAATGGCGAAGGATCTGGGAACGCGCTATGTAATTGAGAAATTGCCAGACTGCAGAAAGCATTAATGTTAAAAGCGGTACTAGTCATCTGATGGCGGTCTCGTTGCAGCGCATCGGTGGAGGAGGACGTCGAAAAACAAGAAAACCTTGCAAATAATTTATCTGGCACTCAGATCTGATCTGGCAAATTATTAGCGCAGATCGTACTGGTCAGTTGCACTCTGGTCAGTACTGGTACTGGTATCGTACTGGTCAGTAATCGTACTGGTCAGTCAGTTGCAGTTACTATGTACATATCACAACAAACCGTGTCCCCCGTATCATCCAACTACATATGATAAAAACTGCCAAAGAGAAACAACAAAATAATTCTTAAAAAAATCAAATTTTATACACTCAGATAATTGGTCTCAAGTCAATTTCAAACTAAGGCATCTAAGTAATGACTGGACATGGCTTTAACTTTTTCGTAAACGCCTAAAAAAAATAAAACCGCCAACGGAAATCCACGTCACCCGAGGCACTACACCAGAAAACAACCTAAAAACATAAATCGTCACTTGGAAAACAGGTAACAAGTTCTTTGCGCCGATCTTTGTGCAGTTACCCTTTCCACCCTTCGCGACTCCAAATATCTCGAAGAACTAAAGCAACATCTCCTCTGGCTTGGACAGACTGGCGCTAATAACACGAATGCAAGCACTTATATGCTCCGCTATTTAGGTAGAGTTTTAAAACATACAGTACGTTATTGTACGTAAACAATTTATCAGCGGTTTAAGCTTTTGTCTTATACTGTAATGTGCAAAATGTCAACCAAGTTCAGGCAAACGTTAACGAACACTAGTTTTACAGTAATTAAAACTTAATATACCATACAGTGCCAAGGGACTACGATTACTGTGGATTACCGATTTATAAAAGATTCTGCTGGATCGAAGAGTCGAATCGTTAGTAAAATTATGGTAAAATAAAATTGTTAGTCCCACGTTCTTACCGCACACAAAGTTAGAATCAACGAGTTAACGCTGATCTGTGACCACCTCGGCCAGTACATTCACTGCTTAGTCGGAGCGTATCCCTTACCTCGGCTAACATTATTCTGGTTTTGGCGACATCTAAAGGAGTGGTTGCTGCCGCTGCCACTGCACCGGCTACGCTGCCGCACACGGCTGACTGCCAGGCAAATATATCCTGTTCTTGCCTCGACTGAACGTATCCCTGGAACAGCATCCAGATTCAGAATCGGTACCATGAACGTACCTTTTGCATTTCATACTTTTAAAAATTCCCAGAGGGGAAATTGAATGACGGAAAAGGAATTTCTCGAAGAACCGTGCTTCTATATCCTCTGTATAAGCCACGAAATCCTGTGGACAAAAAAATCGCGTTAACGAAACTATTGTATCTTCCCACGACAGCGCAAGGGCTGCTTTTTATTATACTATTGTCGGTCAATAGAAACCGGTTTATAACTTTTATTTCCTAGAAACAGAATACAAGCATTTATTTGTTTTACCGTGTTTATTAATAAAAAATATGAACGTACCTCCGTGCGCATCGTGCCTCGCAATACTTCAAAACTAGATAACTGAGAAGCCTGGGTCCTTTGTTTCGTAACTTCAACTGGTACACGTATGAGGCAGGCCATCTGTAAAATTGAGCATATTTTGATAAGAAGCGTAAAGCGTTCACCATTAAAAAAAACAAATGAATGAAGAAAATTAAACTAATATTTTCCCACACCGATCCGGTAACCTCACATAGAATACCGATGAATTTACAGTACTATTAAATTTACACCCAATATAAATACTCGTATGCGCCGGAATAATCTTCAGTTACTTTTATCCGAAAAAGGAATCAGATTTACCACTTCCCCGACCATAGCTGCCAGCATATGACCTAAGGGTTCGGATTTCTGTGAAGGGCCAAATATCTTACTTGCTCCCCGTTTCGTAGCTTCATAGGAGCAAAAAAACAATGCAGCTGAAAAAAAGAGCAAGTAACGGTTAGTAATCACTAATCACTGTAAGCTAAAAATTACTCGCATGCACTTACAATAATTACTGAATAATGTACCACTCGTACTCGATACTCGAAGTCTATCACTTAATTTAAAGACTTCATACCAGTTGGTGCCGATCCCACTATAACAGGAGTTATTCCGGCATAAATCCGGCGAAAACCTCCAGCATACCAAAATCCCTGTGCACTCTGTAATCGCGTTTTAACGGTGTCCGGTGGAAGAGCGACAGGTCCACAGCCGTTCCAGCGGCTGCGCCAGCCTACCAAAATTGCCAGTCAACAGATTTCAGTGCTTTGAAATAAGTTTGAATGGACCGTTACAGGTATGAACGTACTAAAAAAACCTGCGCAACTTGGCTTCGCCAGAATGATTAAGTCATTAAGATCACGGCTGCTTACCACGAGTGATGATACTAGATAGCTCGACATAACGAAGAAATCTGTGTTGAAATCCAGTGTTCACTTTATACATAATACATTCCAGTTTAACCATCCATTTGTGGAATCCAAAAGTGATTAATTAACAAAGTCAACGAAACCGTTCATCGTTCTGAAATTAAAATGATTTTTCTCAAATTTCATGCAAACATCACTCCGGCAGTGGTATCCGGCTTTCAAATCTAAAATCTCGACTGATGTCGAAATCAAAACAAATGGTAGCAACCCCCTCGAAAGGTATTTACGTTGGTTGCAAGTGTTCTTCCCAAAATTTCTTCCCAAACGTATCTGTACATACAGCATACGCCATACATTGTACGTATTAAGATCTTCTTTAACGATAAAATATACTGTACAGTCTGTACTTATCTATAATATTATAACCCTTTATTAGATTTACATCTTGAAGGCTGAAGTATTTGAATTATTATTTCAGTGATATTCGTGATTCTTTCGTGGTGAGTATCGGAAAAACCTATAGAAGTTTTCTGTCATCTGCCATTAGCATAACTGGAAGATTGTGAAAGCGGAAAAGTTAATGTGGTTATTGTGAGTGTTACGCAGTTACTGTTAAGTATCTCGCTTTAAGTGTACTGTAGAAGTATTGATGCTGGTTTTAATCTAAGCGTGGTCTTCGCCTCATTTATACAGAGAATCCAAGTTGAAAACCCCGCTAGCAAACTGGATTCCCAAACCGAAGTGCCTTCGGAAACTGCATCCGCCAGCAGTATGTCTTCCCCGAGCACCAGCTCCAGCATTGCACCTGAAGGTTGGCTGGATGATAGAATGCTGAATGCAGTGCTGCATGATCAGCGTGAAATGCTGGCCAAACTGGAGAAGGCCAACGAAACCCTGGACACGTGCAACACCTTGAGCCATCAGCGTATCGACGCGTACGCTACTGACTTCAAACACCACGTCAAGCTCTTATTGGAAATGAAGAAAGATCTCGAGTCATTGTATAAACGGTTAAGAATTGTCCAAACCAAAGTCTCCAAACTGTATCCAGCTAACTACGCGGATGCAGTCAGTAAAGCGGAAATGCACGAAATAGAGGAAGACGAGAATGACTGATTTTAATTACATTTTGGCCGTCCTGGAATTTTGTACGCGCAGTCTGTTGTTTCCGTTTTCCTGGATGTTCATGACCTGCAGTTTGGATTTTGTTTGGTTTTATGCGTCCATTTGCAGTTGATTTGCAACCATATTGATCTCGTCACAGTTTCTGTTTTTGTTTAAGTTTCATTTTTTAGATTAACTTTTCAACTGTAAAGTCATTTTTCGTTTGCCATGATACCGGTATCCATAATTTTTATAAACCTAATTTTACCCGTGACGCGTTATTTCCATTTTGGCAGTTTAATTTCCAATTTGTTGTTGTGTATCGGGTTTTCACAATCAGTGTAAAGTACCCTATAAGAAAGAAGTACAGTATCAATGGATAATTGTATAATCTGGTCGTTTCGCTTAGAATATTTCTGTTTCACCACCACTTGTTTCAAATTGACGTCGACAACTTGACATTAATTAACTTTTAAATAGCTAAAGTACGAGACTACGAGTACAGTAAAAAAATCATTTGTGTCGTGACACCTTGTTAGTTTTAAAAACTGCTGAAGTTTTCTGTAATTTCTATTAGGCTGGCTTGTTAATTTAATTTAACTTATATCAGTGAGGGTAAAAAAATAGCATGACAACTAGTAGACCCCCTGCGCGAAACTGCGCGGAATAAATCAGTGGTAGATTAAAATGCAAAAATATATAAGCTCATCGTTATTCATGACTTCTAAGATACGTACATTTGTCAAATTCAGATATATTCTACGCTTCGTTGGATTCATTCATGCTTCAGAAATTTAAAATTTAAAATTTTGCATAATTCAAAATAAGGTGCTGCTGCTGTACTCGTAGTCGTAGCTGGGTTCACTGTTTTACCGAAAATTCTATTTTGATCTTTCTGTGTTAACATTTTCCCGTTCGGTACACTGCAGAGAAAACCGTAATATACTTCAAAACTTGCCGTTTATACAATATGTGCTGTTTTATAGAAGTTCCTTTGAGTATTTTTCTTTATCAGTCTGCTATTTGAATTGTAAAATATTGCCCGTTGTTATGTATTAGAATTTTGGCCAGCCAGTGCAGCCACACTTATCAAGTCATTAACATACTTCCAGTCATGGGTTTTTTTAAATTTCAGTTTGTCCGGTAACAATGCGCAGATCGCAGCACTCACGACGCAGTGTCTGATTGTGTCTCGCTTATTATTTTATGACTCGTATGAGTCCTATCTGTATTCAGTGTATTGTACCGGAGCTCGGGGTCACCTGCGGCTTCGCCTTCTGTTACAATAGCGTCGTTTCACAAATTCACAATAGCGTCGTGAATAATATTTAAATTAACTAATTAATTAATTAATAATAATCATTAAATTTCACAGCAGCGTCGTGAATAATTTGCACTTCCGCTACTTTAGCACCACTGTTCTAACACAACCGCGTAAAATCCATACTACGGTGCCACCGTAGTAATGGATTCTCACGCGGTCTGTACGTAAAAGCAACGGCAACCAACGGCAAAAAAACACAGCCGTACTTTGCTATTGCTTTATTCGGCTAGTTGTTTCGAAAACGGCTCGGTTTACATGTTCAGCAATGCATTAATCAGGTGACAGACAGAACATTCTGTGCAAAGTACGGTAATTCATTCACGCAGAGTTACAATGGAGGCTATAACACTGCCAAAGACAGATCGTATGCAGCAGCTCGCAAACGCGAGCGCCAGCTTTATTTTAACGCGCATCGGCGCTAACCGGCTCGGGCAGAGCAAGACGTTCAACAGAACCAGACTAAGAGAATTCTAAACAGGTAGACAGCAAGCACATCTCTAGGGAAGGCGCCAATCCTCTGCTTCGACTGATCTCCTGTCTACTTCCATTTGGCACGATTGGTGCTGCGGACATCACAGGCCTTTCAGTCCAAGCCGTTACTGAGTAGCCAGGGTGGTATTGTGATCCTCCATCTCCGTGCCCGTCTCCTTGGTGGTATTGCTGCCTCAGCCAAGCACTTCGCACACAGGCCTTGCGGGCCGTGCACTCGCAGCCTGAACTCAGAGTGGTCACCCATCTAAGTCCAAACCGCGCTCGATGTAGACTATCTTTCAAAACCCGAAGGTTTATCCATCTAGCCACAACGAGTGTGCTCATAACGGCACGCGCACCCGACCTTGGAGGCGCTACAATAAAGGAGCTCGAACAACTGCGGAGGACAGCTACTTAAAAAACTGGGTTTGCACTTTGCAGCTGTTCCGTACTCGCGGACTGCTTTGCCTGATCTTTCTGACGTCTTCAGCTCTAACTGTCTTGCAAACAAAAATTTCTGGTAAAAAATATGTAAACCACGGCTATAAGGTGATACATGTCATTACATAAGCACACCCATTCGAAGAAGAGCTTGAAGAACGGCGTTTCAGCTGTCGACTCAAGACAGTGGTGGGGTGGTCGATTTAGCAGTGGTGGGTTCCTCACTTTTCCATAGACTTTGTATGTTAGCTTTTCTTAAACTTTTCTTTTAAACTTTACATTTTTCTCAAAACTGATTCTTGTCGCGCCATCTGCAAACCTGGCGCTATCGAATGATATATAGACACCCAAGTTTCGTTAAGCGTTTCGCTCAGAAAAGGAGCTTTGTATGGAATTCGCTAAGGCTTATTTTATTAATATATAGAGATAGTAGCTGTATCAGAACATTAATTACATAATTATTAGTGTGTAGCGGTGCTGCTTTATGCATAACATACAGAATCGTCATCTACATCAGATCGAAAATGTTAATGGTCATATTTCACTGTCACCTGATGATCATCTACTTACAATTAACCTTACAGTTAGCAGCAACCCATGAAACTCTCAACCAAAAAAATAAATAAAACAAATAAACAATAAGACTTGCTAAACGCTACACAGTATTAAAACGAGAGAACTAAAATTATAACATCCCACCAGTAGCAACAGCAGACACACATATTTTTAAACCAAATCACAGCATTATAAGTCCACACACTACACATTAACCAATTTAAATCCACCGAACAGATACCGTTCGCTTACAAAATCATCTCAGCCACGCCATTGTTGGAAATGCCATAACAGCAAATCTTCGTTATGAATATGTCGGATTTTCAGAGCTGCCGGAATGTATTACCATCTCACAATTTCAAGGAACTTTATTCCGATGGAACGGACAATAACTTGGAAGTTTTCGGATCATCAAATCGATCCGGCGTTTTAATTCCAACCAGCATAGAAATACCCAGAGCCAGAATCAGTGCCATGATCAAGCCTGTCACCGTCGCCATCCATAAAGGAATCGTGAAAGCGTATTCACACGGTTGGAAAAATGTAGCGTCACCAAAGACGGAAGCATTATTGGTGGCGTTAAGGAACGGTTTGAGCTATGAAAACAAGCATAAGACGATTCTAAACTGGTACACGCAAAATAACGATTCCATGCAAATTCGCAAGCAGTAAAGGATGTCATTGCAAAATAACGATTCCATGCAAATTCGCAAGCAGTAAAGGATGTCATTACACGCAGGTGTACTAAATAGCAGCAGCTGTAAATTGTTTAACCAAAATCACTCGCGTTTCCATAAATTCCTAATCAAAACCACTTACGATTATCTGGGGAAACTGTAGTCCTGCCATTTGTTCACCATAATCGGAGGTAAAAGCATACTGATCCTGGCAAAGATAAGCGTACCCGCGATCGCCAAAAGTATCCTGCGGGCGCAGATCCCAGTTATTCGTCTGGGTACCGTTTACACCATCGAATGTCGCCTTCAAGGTTATGTTCGTAATCCACCAATAGAAACTGTCATGTGCGAAGTCGAACCTGCAAAACAGCTTCCCATAGTGGACTAAAACAATTAATTAACGGAGTTGTAATAACAAAATTATTGAATGTTATACCAACCGAAATGTAGCCTGCTTTGTAGATGCATTTGATTGAATGCCGGATACATCCACGACAAAACTGAAAACAACGAGAAGCAAATGAGCACAGCAGAGTATAAAAGGTGTTAAAAATGGGCCAGGAGTGGTAAAAAAATTAATTTAAAGCTTCCTAATTTCTATGCATTATGCACACGGTTTACACCGCATTCCACAACACTGACACCAAACAATACTGTAGCCGTACAAATGAGATCTGTAGTGAAGATGTACATCTGTGCTAGTTCAACCGGAAACATCTGAATGTGTACTTGTACCGTTGTACGAGATGACCAGTTCTAACGTGGATTTTCTAGACTTCTGAGATTGTCTGAATGTCCTAAAATGATTCTTGCTCTTGCCCTTGCCCTTGCTCTTCCCCAATGACTTTTCAGCTGATTAAAAATGTTTGTGCACTTTGACAATCGCGCCGGTATCGGTTAACATGTTCGCAATTGCATAACTGACTTTTGGGTAATTCGCTAACTCGTAACATCGCCGACGAACCATCAAACCTCGTTTTATCGTGGTACGGGTGTGTAACCCACTCCACTAGTGGCAGCTTAGAAGTTGCCGTTGCAATACTTACAAAGCTGTGCCATTGTTATCTTCGCTCGGGCATCCAGATTCTGTTAGAGTGATTGTAGAATTTTCAGCAAAAATCTCATCATCAACCTCCCACTTCGACCTGACATCATGTGGGCCATAAACTTGAATCTGAATGGGATTAGATGTTTCCATTCGAACACACGGTGTAGTAAATATTAAAGTCGTCCCATTCCCAAATACTCCAGTTCTCGGTTTAATCGGCGTTCCTGTTGCTCTTCTTTCTCTTGATAGGAGTTCTTCTTTTGCTTCCGAAACCGACTGAAAAAAGTTACAACTTCAAAAATTTATCTATCATACGGTTTGGATTTCAGAATCAGCAGAACGCAGAACGCAAACCTGTATCCTAACGGCAACCGAAAAAGCACATGACACTGTCAAAACCGACAGAACGTGTAAGTAAAGCATTGTATGCGATGAAATAAAACCAAAATGCAAGGGGAAACAATTCGTTTGGAGCAGAATAAAAGATAACAACGGGATGTAAATCCAGAAAGTCAGGAAGGAAGAATCTGGAAGATTATCATTTATTCACTCACATGATGTGGGCGAACAAGGATGAGTATCGTGCACTAAAAAGTAAAGCATGTATTAAGTAGCACAGCAGTAGAGGCAGTTAATAGCTGGCCCTGGCGGCATCAGATTCGCCCCAATCGGAGCTGATTGAATTTAGTGTTTTTTGTTGCTGGATGGATGTTTACCAGTTTTATAAAATTAAATTTAATGCTCTATGCTTCTAGGGTTACTATCTGCGGCATGGGATTATTGGGATGATTAACGGAAGCTGCACAATTGCACATTCCCTTGTTGCGGTTAAGGCCCCACGCCTTTGCTTGTACTACGGACAAAAAGCGTGCACAAATTTGTAGCTGAGAAAAGCAGATTGACGTGAGCAGTGAGCATTTTAATTACTACCATCCCTGGCAAAAAGCTTTGTGATTTTAGAAGTCGTTATCCTGGATCTTCTCTTTTGGAAGTTTTCTGCTTGACCGCTGCAATGTTCAATCTTATTTTTTGTAAGTAAAGAAGTTAACGATCATTCGCGGATTCATTCATCGTCGTTTCCGTTCCCGTAGACAATGTATGACAATTGTAAAACTGAATTGACCATTGTTTCCATGTCCTTGCAGCCACGTTGTTTATGAACTCGCTGACTCCGAAATTTTATGTTGCTCTGACCGGAACATCCTCCTTGGTGTCTGGATTAATTCTGGTAAGACACGCTGTCAGATGAGATTTTTATTAACCATTGTATTTGGCAGAACAGTTTTGATAATGGAAATACTTTGAATTCTTCCCTTAGATTTTTGAATGGTGGTATTACAAGAAATATGGCATATCTTTTCTCGAACAATTATCTATAACTCATTTGACCCCCTGGTTCGGCGGGAATGGAAATACCAATGGAACGGAGAGCGAAACATCGTCATCTGGAGAAAGTCCGCAACAAGGTTGGCGACGCCGCAGCTGCGACGCTATCGTTCCATTTCTGATTGATTTTCAAGTTTTCTGGATTCCCTTGTAGAAGTCCAGGTTACGGAAAATCCTTTCAAATTGTTCCGTGGACCGGAATACAGCCGGTTTTTTAAATTACGAGGTAATTATTACGCGATATGCTGCGGTCTGGTGTGTTGTGTTCAGACTTCTGGTTGGGTATTTCATTTTGTTTCCTACAGTTTAACTATTTTCGTTGTTATTTTATCAGCTGGAAATGTTACATATTGCTGTTTATACCTTTGCGTTTATGTAGACCTGTAGGTTATGGAAACATGTCATTTACGGGACGTTTCAATTTATGCCGCACTGTGTACTATAATTTATTTGCAGGAAAGGAGCCGCTGACGTTTTACGACATGAATTTGTCCGCTCAGGAACACCAGAATTTGTTCCCATTGGAAGTGTATTCTTCTAAGGAGGATTTTGACAGTGAGCTGATGCGTCCTGTTTCTTTATCTGTTGATAATTACCTGTAATATGGTGGCCGAATTGTCTGCAGCTATGCAAAGAGCGTGGCGTGAGCGTGATTCAGCCTTGAGGGTATCGATTGCCGAAGAGTTATTGCAAAGAACTCCAGAGTAATTCCTTTTGCTCATCTTAATCGCGGTGTATTATTATCTCCGGCCAACCACGAGTCTTTTATTTTCTGCAGCTGTGTACCGGCGCTGGTGCTGCTGGGAGAGGAAGGAACTACGACAATCATCGAAACGGAAAGCCGCTTCCGTGACGCATTACGGGTTATGGAAAGTCACCTAGCCAAACGAAGGAACGGACTGGTGGCTTACGATGAAGAGGCGCACGGTAGCGCATTGCTTCGCTTATCCTTATGATCACTTTTCACCGGTGTGCATTTCAGCTCGTGAAACGGAAATCTCTTTCTACGTGCGCCGGCGTCTAGCCATGTGTTTTCGTAAACTGCGCAAATTCAAAGAAGCTGTGAAAATTATGAAAGATGTAAGCTGGATTGCTACATTACTACCTTTGCTCCTTTATTGCTGCGATCGATGACTGTTGTCATCTCGGTTGTTCCCTGATCGCCAATCGATATTGCCATATGGATCACTGTTCCTCTAATTACTGTGTGGTTTTCAGCTGCTGAAAGAATTCCCCTTAATTATGGATATCCATGAAAATCTGGTGGAATGTTTGTTGGAAATGAAAGCATATGCGGACGTTCAGGCCGTAATGGCTAAATATGACGGTGAGGGAATTGTGCCGATTATTCGTCAGCAGTTACGATGACGTGTTTTTATGGGATGCAGATGTGAATTTACCCAAGTCCGCAACGATAGTTTACACTGCGGCGCTGCTGAAATGCCGGTGTGTGGGAGAAAGGTGAGTAACCGAACAGCTGCAGATTCAGATACATCTCCGGGTACTGGATATTACCGTTACTGATGTTAATACCGGCACTGATCATCACGTATTTTTATTTTTGAAGGTTTTCTCCAGATTTAGTGTCTAAACGAGGGATTTCAGCGGTAGAGTTGAATGCCATAGAGGCGATTCACCGTGCAGTGGAATTTAATCCTCACGTTCCTAAAGTACTGGTGTTAATGTTTCGAACGGTTACTTTAAGGCGCGGAACTGAACAAATGTGATATTTTAGTATCTCCTGGAAGAAAAAACACTGATTCTTCCTCCTGAACATATTGTCCGACGCGGAGACAGCGAGGCACTGGCTTACGCTTTCTTCAACTTGGACCACTGGAAGGATATTGAAGGTGCCCTGAAAATCCTACATATGACATGGGAAGGAAGTATGTGCATAATAGTTATTTGTTGATGGTATTCGCAGACTGGCCGGCATTCACGAATGTAGAGACAAATTTAAAATTCTTTTAGTTATTAACTTATTATAACGTCAATTTGCCGAATTATATCAACTCCGATGTTTTCCATAGTTGTTATTTTAATCTGAACTCGTGAAATTTGCTACTTGCTATTTGATTATCTGCGTATTTTAGCGTTTCGCGCATTACCTTACCCCTTGGAAAAAGGACATTATTTTCATCCTTATCCTTCTGGAATGGAAGCAGCAGAACGTGAGCTTCTGCCTGTTTTCCACGATGTATCGGTCTATCCTCAGAAAGAAGTTCCTTTTTTTATCACATTTACGGCTGCTCTTTGCTGCATCATGGCTATGTTAGCGGTCCTGACCCATGCCTATCCCGAATTTATGACGCAACTGGCTCGCACGGTAAGGGTAATCAAGCATTTCTTACGATTAAGTATAGCGCTCTTCAAGTACCTACAAAAACGCTCTTAACTGTCATCGTATTTGTGGTAGTAGATTTACTTAGAAAGATATTGTTCGGTTACGTACAGTATGCCAAAAGTAGTTGTCGCACCTACAGTGTTTGACAGAATAATTGAGCTAACTGCATCCGTTTTAGTTGATCGTCTACATTACTCTCCCTGTAAATTTTTTGGTGGAGAAACTGGAGGCTGTTATTCCTCCGCAACTCATGCAAAATTTGGCTAGAATCTGATGCGAAGTGAGGTTGCACCTTGTAACTGCCGTGATGCGAAGTTGATTCTCCGTATTACATGTTAGTTCTTATATTTTAAACCGCCGCTTGTCGTTTACTTGGTGTACTGTACACTATGCGGACTTCCCGTTTGATGGGTTTGAACGGTCCAGATTTTCTGTAATTGTTACCATGTTCTTTTGGAGCTTTATTGTCCGTTGTATGAGTTTTTAATGTATCAAAATGTTGTCCTTGACTCCCAGTTGGTGTTAGTGATGCAGCAGCTCACTAATCAATCACGCTAATTTGAAGCAACTTTATTACTTCTGATGTACAAGCCTGTTGAATTTTTATGTAGAATGAATGATCTTGAACCTGTCTTATACATGAAAATAATGTTTTTCGTGTGCTGGAAAAAATTATGCAAGTAATAAAAGAACTCAGCTACACTGGTTTTACATTCATAATACGAATTATTGGTTCACATTGAAATTACAGCAGCGCACGAACAATTCCGAAATTATTCTTCATCACAACGCTTTGGCATTCTAAGGAAAAATAAAAGAATAAAAACCACGGAACAAAAAAATACTGCTAAATTGCTGACCATGAATTCCGTATGGCAAAATTGAAAATTCAGTCGTTCGATTTTTTCTTTACAGTAAGGAAATCACTACGCACTAGTCGGTATAACAAAACCACATTCATAATAACTGCTATCACAAAACAGATTGTCGCAGTCACGTTGACAATTCGAGGGATTCGGTTCGAATAGGAAAAATGGAGATAAGAAAGACATACGAACGTTCCTAATCGGAATAATATGAAGGTAGCTGAAAACAACAGATTCCTTGTAGATTTCGTACCCTAATTTCATACTAAGTATAAGTAATCTGGCTAATAATGCTTAATAACTCAAAAGATCGAAATCGTGACCTCAGTTGAGTCCCACAATCTAACATTTGCAAAGCGGCATCCGTCTACAGTGGCCACTGGCCACATAAATGCTACTTTAGGGTCTGAATTAGAATAATTTTCCAGGAACAATTTGGTTGTCACTATATATATATGTGAGATAACAGATTACACACGATACATGCAATACACGTGAAGTTTAAATTTAAAACGATCTGACAGTGCTATATTAACGATAAGTATAATTTATATAGGAAGTTATTAAATACCGGTAGCACCTACAGCGATCTGGGGCATACTTACAAACGTTCAGTAGCGAAATGACGTGGTAAAATGGTCGATTTTTTGGAATTCCCAAGATCCGTAATATTTGGCGCCAGTGGAGGAACAAACTGTTAACCTCCACAAACAGCGAAAACACGGGAAAACCAATGAACTTTCGCAGAAATACTGCAACACCGAAGCAAAGTACCACCTGGAACAGCAATCTTTTAAGCTAGTAATGTCTAGTTACATTTTTAAGAAAGCTGGAACATTTATTCACACGAAAATTACACAACCGACACGTCTGTACTCTGTGCACTTTGAAAAATTTAATAATATAACCAGAAAATTCGAAAGGCGCTACACAAGTACGGTTGCTAGTTACGTTTACTGTTTACTGACAGCCAACCCTACATAATTACAAGACCTAAAAGCGGAAACAGTTCCTGATGGCATATACATTCACTCAGCACCGAAAAAATTTGATGATTCCCATCACAACATAAGTTGAATAAATGGTCGTAAGCTTTTCTTTCCTAATCTGGCTAATCGCAAGGGTAGACTGGTAGTAATTTAATCTGCAGACAACTGCAAATCATAACAAACAGTACTCCTATGCGTACATTTATCTATTGTACAATTTCTATAAAGTACTTCTGAATTAAAAAATAAAGCATCTTCACAGTTCACAGTTGTCCTACAAGGGAAAACTGATATATAGATATACTGATATAAACGCCAATGTAACGCCATGATACATACCACCGCATGATGTCCCATTAATTCCACAGACTTCAAATTTAACCGATTAATTCCCATGTCAAAAAGGTCGTAAATAAAGTAACCTGAAAGGCAAAACGCGCGAACTCATCAGAAAATAGCGCTGCTTATTTCTTAATTCAACTGTGTTAATGGCAGGACAGCATTGTTTTAATCACAAATCATATGCTAAAGCCGAAGATTATGTTCGGGAATATGTTGTCTTACAACAGTATAGCAATATGTTGTCTTACTATTGTCAACAAATAGCTCGTTGTTAATTTGTGTCGCAAAAATTTGCTATAAGCGCAACAAGTACCGTACTGAGCGATGTACGTGGTCATTTTACTAATCATTTTCCATCCGTCGGCGTATAGCTATTCTTATGGCATCGGCCACAAAATGATCAGACCGACATGCACTTCTTGAAGTAATGCAAGATCTGTTTGGAAGCTACTAAAAAAATTTAAGTACTGTACTGTACTGGCACCAGAAACAATTCTAATTTCAAAGTTGCACACACGAGTGCAGTTTACTACCGGCACTTCGTAATCTGTAACAAACTTCCTTATACAACGAGTTTTCTTTCTGGTGTACTCTTACTTTTGACTTATGCCACATTACAGCAAAAGGAACTCCGAAAAGTTAGAAATATTATTATTAAGTAAACAAGATGCGAAATTGTTGCAGGCCCATAAAGTACACAATGCTTATACTCGTACTACGACTGCGCTCATACCGATTGATAGTGCCACGAGATAATACGAAAAGTTGGAGCCGCCTTCTACCATGTCTTCACGCAAATCGTCAATAAGAAAAAAGCTAAAAAATAAGCACGGTAAGCCATAATGGTCACACTGCTTGAAACTAAAAGCAAAGAGCGAAGTTTGGGTTCGCAGCCCGACATGCCTTGTAAACGACCAGATTCCTGTTATGCACGAATGCAGCATCGAAGTGGCGATGTTCCGCAGTTTCCATTGCGTCTTACTCGGAGTCGCTCCACTCCATGGTTTGTACAGTCTAAACAGCTGATTAACGACAGCAAAAGCCACTGCAGAGCCAACAATAATTCCCAAATCACTGCGAATATTGGGATTCGCAAAATTTTTCTCCATTTTAGCGGACGAAGTTTGACGCCTGCAGAAAACGGCTTCCGAAAACGGTATGCGATAAGGGTGCAAAGGCAGGAAGCAGGCTGAAGCATTACCGGAAACTCGAAGATTTCAACAAGAGCGCACAATGTATGCTAAAAGTACAATATTTCGAGGCACAGGTAAAGGCAGCAACAAAAACTGGAAAAATCAGCTGAAGATTTCAACAAGAGCGCACAATGTATAAGTTAAAGTACAATATTTCAAGTACAGAGTAAAAGCAGCAACAAAAACTGGAAAAAATCAGCTGATAATGAATGCTGTCGAATTAAAGACGCGAAGTTGCAGCTGTCGGTGGCGCTCTCCGTAGCCGAACTTTACTTACTAGCGAATTTTAGATTTCACAAAACAAGTTACGTGCAGTTCGACGTTCGGATAGAAGTTGGCGTTTAAACGGGTTGATTTACGTCCGTTCGCGACGTAAGGCGCCGTAACCCAACGTCGTTGGCTGACGCGTAAAAACTATCTGCCTTACGTGGAACTGTGCAACGGCTCAGCCATATGGCTGAGCAATAAGCCAGCGTATGCTGCCTGTGGATCTTTTTTGTGTGCTCTAACCGCCTCCCCGAGAGCAGGTTGGTCACGCTCTCGGCACTCTCGATTCGATTTATTTTTCAGCTGTACGTCACTGCAAGTGTGCATCCGTACAAGCATTTTAAACGATTTTCAGTCTGCAAACGTACTGTTTATGTGACGCGGTAGTTTCTAGTGGACGGAGCCTAAACCATGTGAAATCTAAAATTCCCTACTGTACAATCTTACGGGCAAGTGGAACCGAGAACTCAAATAAATCAATAAACTGTTAAGACATTTTTTCGAATGAATGTCTTAATTCACGGCAATCAAAGATGTGCACGACTACGCCGCAAAATATGAAACCTTAGGCAATACCGACTTGAAAAAGTCGGAAGGTTTCGAAAAACTTTAATATAATAGTGAGTGGGTCGGAAATTTTTAGACCAAAATAATCGGAAATTTTTAGAACATATGGTCAGTTATCTATGGTCAGTTATTTAATAAAAATTATCGTAACTCGTAAATACTATAGGGGTGTCTAAACACATATCAACGGGTACAAAAAACGCCGAAATTAAACCGTTCACCACTACTGACACGTGACAACGACAAGTCCATGACCATATTACTACTGTACAAGTTTCCACAATACTTCTCCAGCGGAAGAAATTCCATGTTTTGCAATTATCGTAATACCAAAACACTAAAATTTTATTTTATTTACAATAAAAAAAACATAGAAAACAACGAAAAACTATAGAAAAGATCAGAAATACGTCAACGGGCTCACATAGCTGAGTAAAGTAACGGGGATACTCTGTAGGAGCAGGCAATTCGCAGATTGCCAAGTAGTTGCCGCTCAAAATTGACCCGTTCCAAACTGCTGCTTCCAGACTTCGTACTCTTTTAGAACGTTAATATCGACGGAAGGTGTGCGACCGCTAAGGGCTTCAATGACATCCGACAACGTTATTGGATGCTTCTGTAACATACGACATTCATCGAAGATCGAACTATAATACCTAGAGTAGTTAAGGAGAATTTATACTATTCGCTAGCGCACGCATTGCGCCAGCGAGAATAGTCAAAAGATGTCGAAATCGGTATTATCTCTTCTTAAACGAATCTCCTAGCAGAAGTACTACATCTACCGGTGTTCCGGTACTATAATCTTATTACAGCGTAAATATAAAATTAATCTGCTGCAAGCCAAAAATACCTGTGTCTGCAATTCTTTCGCCACTTCCTTTATTGTTTTGCCTCCTCTTAAGCGCCTGAACTTAGCCCGGAAAGCATCTCTGCACAGATCACGAACGTCAGCTCCAGAAAAATTTGCAGTTTTCTCAGCAACAGTCTCGATATCCAAAGACGTTAAGCTGTGGGTGTCTTTATTCAGTTCCAGTGTGAGCATTTGCGTGCGAGACATTTTATCAGGAAGTGGAACGTACAATCGATGTGTAAATCGGCGCCGTGCAGCATCGTCAATTTCCTGGGGCGATTGGTTGCGCCGATGACGAACACTTTCTTATCTTTGTCAGTTTTGATACCTTCCATCTGTGCGAGAAATTCAGTTTTCATTCGTCGGGATGATTCATGTTCTTCACTGTTCCGACGACTCAAAAGGGCATCGACTTCATCCATAAAATGACAGCCGGCGCCTTCGTACGGGCATACTGGAACATGGCGCGCACTAACTTCTCGCTCTCCCCGGTCCACTTCGATGTGAGGGTTGATGGGGTAACAGAGATAAACACAGTCCGTTTCCAATCGTCATTTCCTTTCACCAACTGCGCAGCAACCCACCTACCAATCAGTGTCTTCCCGGTTCCGGGTGGGCCAAACAGTAAAAGTCCTTTGGGTGGTATATTAAGTCCGGAACACCTTCAAGATGATTAAAATAGTGCTTATTGTTAGGCAAAATGTTGTGGAACACTAATGAAGCACTTTTACCGCAGTTTTGGAACTAATAAAACATAGGAGGAAATGCAAGTTATTCTTGATTGTATGCACGGAAAAACGTCTTTTTATTTTGTACTTAGTACTTACTCCACCATTAACGGCAAAATAACGGACAGCTCCAGATTTTGTTTCACATCGTCCAAACCAACTACTTCCCCCACATCGCAAAGGTCTTCCGGAGTGACCACATATTCTTCAAACATCTCCACTAGTTTTGACATTTCGTTTTCATCCTTGGACTTCGCTGCCATAGGCGGAAGTCTATTTCGCTCAGACACGGGTGCTACAAAAGGCTGCGACAAAGGGCGCGCTCCGGCCTTCAATTCAGCCGGAACAGTCTCACCCTTTTCGACCATTTCAACAACCAGCTGTTCTTTGGCAGTTTTGAATGAGGACGGTGCGGCAACAGTTTCCGATTCAGGTGGGCGCGGCCCTATAAAAACGAACTGCGTTATTAACGTTAACGCTAACTGTGTCATTAACTACCTTCTTGTACTTGTTCATTTAAGTACTCTACATCATCCCTGTTTTCCATACCTTCATATTTCATTTCTCGAATTATTCGCTCGCTCCAAGTCGCTTACCTTCAACAGAGCCACTCTGACTGTGTCCGAGCTTTTCGGGCAAAACAGCGGGATTATTAATTCGCGAAGTGTCTCTCCTGGGAACGGTGAAGCCGGAATTCGCTGGTACGGCTTTTCGCTTCGCCACAACTCTTGCGGGCTGAATTCCACTTGAAAATTTCTGCAAAATCCATACACTACTTAGTAGGTTATCGAACATTTTGAAATCGGACCATTGATTTGAATTCACCGCCTGAGCTGCTTTCAGCGGATCTTGGTAAACAGCTCGGAACTGTTCAGCCGACAAAATATGCTCTTCAATATCGGCGTCGGTGGGCATGCTCGGGATGCTTTCTTCGACTTTCCACGTCGAATGGACTGTAAAAAGCGGATGTTAGAATTGAACTCGGCAACGTAGCAGACTCTGAACTTATGTAAGTGAAAGGCATTCAGAAAACGCCTATGTTTTACATAAACGCCTATATCACATTGCATTTAATGTGCAGAAAAAGAAGCAATGGTTTCCGCAGTTTTGAATGTAACTGTTGAGAACCAGCGCACTCTGCACGTAAAGTTTCAGTAAGATAATTCACCTGGATTGACTCCCGTTAAACGCTGCTCGACAGCACCCCGGTGATTGTTAAGTCCGCCGTTTTCTATTGTCCCATCCATCAACGCGGTGTACTTCTCCAGTCGCTCCATGTGCCAGCCGGATTGGGAATCGCTTGTTTGCTCACTAGATAATTTGTACCCTAATTAAATTTAAGGCTTCCCTGACACTTTACTTGGGCTGTGAGGACACATCGTCTGATACAGATACCGGAAAGAAGAGATTTCTGGGACAACGCACAATTGACAACCAACACAGCGGTAAGATGGCTGGGTTAACTGCGCAGAAGCTGATGCAATCAAACATCTCATACCTGAACGAGTTCGTAGTTAGAAGAGTCCGTAAGGCTTGAGCTTTTTCAGCAGCAGAATCTCCAGATTGTTTCGAAGCTGCTCCCAAATCTAGATTCATCTTATGGGCTAGCAGGTTCTGGTACAGTGATTCAGGATCCAGATACCATTCGCCATCGCTAGGATCGTGCTCGTTCGTGTCCATAACTGGCTGCGAAATTTCACCGTGCTTTAATTTGGTTCACCAAGTTAACCTGATATTCCTTTTTGATTCTGTCATGAGAACGACAGGTTTAGTAATCCCAGATTACACAATACCTTTAAAAATAAAACTTACAAAATTTTTTAAATCTGGAACTTTTTTACTTGATAAACTGATAAGTACTTACACTGCACTGCCGCCATCCATTGTCCGTAGCGTTAGACCGTACCACTGCTGATGCAGTTACGTGAATCTTAAAGACCGGAAGTTAAAAATTAATTTTAATATCAGAATAGCGATGGCGCAGAAACCGGAATTGATTAAGCCTTATGAGTTATGATTTATTTATGAATCTTACGCAAGATCGACAAACCGATTCCTTTGACTCTCTGACACTACAATTATACATTAAGCAAAACAAAAAGAATTAAAATCTGTTTTTGGCTCCAATGCCCCATTGCCAATCGTTAATCAGCAATATTTGTGTATTGTATTTAGGCTTTCGAGGTTTGTCATAATTTACTACTCTGCATTCTTGGTCTTCGAATCGAAGTTTTTTTCGGTGCAAACCAACCACTGTTGTTGGGTCTGAGCTCGTAGCTATACACGACCTACTACTCGTATTTGGTTACGTATTCTTAATAAGTTTACGGGTTACCGCAAGTGTTTCGCATCAATACCATCAATACCGCATCAACTTTACTTTGTAACATGCATTTTTCTGGAGTACAGATACAAGACTAACAGGAGTGAAAGTACAGATATGTCTGTATCCCGAAATCTGACATCGATAACGATTGCAGAATGTAAGCTGTTGTTTTATTGTTATTGTTCGTCAGTTAAATACAATTGTTCTGTTGTTGCTGATGTGCACCGCCAAGTCTGTACGTACGTCCGAGACCAGCTGTCACGAAGAGATCACCTACGCGCCAAGTGGACACCGGATATGATGCAATAATATCCATCGATGAGCGCGGATCAGCTTGTCAAACTTGCACACTGATAGTACAATCAACTTTGATCAGGGGCAATAAAACGATCGTTTCCGTTTTTGCGAACTAACTGGCCAGTGGTACAATATTGTAACTGAATAGCCCACACCGCATCAAATTTCCACATCGCCCATAAATACCCTTGACGGCGTCGCACGCTCATTTACTTTTACTTCAACCGATTCTAGACTGTTAAAGCGGTAAAACAATTTGTTTTGTCTGTTCCATGAAAGCGATTGTGTAGCCAAGAGTATCCAGCTGATTATCCAATAATTTCGTGCCTGCTTGTAATGACTCTTCGACTCGTCACCTTTGCGGTGCTGTCGGCATTAGCCGCGGTACGAGCGCAGGAAGATCTCATACGGATGATGATGCTGTCCAGTCTGTTGTCGGGTGGAGGATTTGGAGGCGGCGGACAGTCCGCTCCGCAGCAGAATACTCACATGATGACTGGCTTCGAAGGGGATCCGCGCAGTAGCGGCGGAAGTGCAACGGGGATTTCCTCGCAGTCGTCTAATCCGGGCGGTCTGTTCGGTGGACTGATGGGGCTTCTGTCGCGTAACGCTGGAGGAAATGCCGGTAAAGTGCAAACCCTGCTTGGCGTACAAGCAGTAGTATCTTGTAAAACAGTAATAGTGTTTAATTATCGACAATTAAGAACCAAGTATCTTTGAAATATTAATACTAATTTTGTTTTTGCTTTAACTTACAGTAAGAAAAATTCTTATCACAGTAAGTCTGCAATAAAAAAAATAATTCAATGTATATCGTACGATTGTTCTAATAATTTGCAAAGGTATATTTTAAGGGTACTTGCAACCTATTGAATCTAAAAACAGTATTAAGCTTGGGCGCACTCTGCGTTTGCTTTGTACTTCACTCATAACAGTTTTCGGAAATTATCCAAAATATTCGAATATTAAAAGTGCATTGTGGCGGCAAAATTTGTGAACATGCTTAACGAGGTTGTATGCCGCAGACCTTAAGCTTTAGATTTATTTTCGATTGGCTATTTCCAATATCTTGGTTCTCGGAATTGCTCAATTTCTAATCGAGCTATATGGCATATTTTAAAGCGCCTCTGCTTCTGGATGTCGACGGTGATATTCTCCGCTCTCAGTTATGGCAACGTGGCCTTTTAGGAGGAACTGGTGCGGGAAGTCCCGGGGCGGGTCACGCGGAAGCCGGTCCCGCATCGCCGGTAAACCACCGAGACGCCAGTCCCGTTAACAGCCCACTGGTCAACGGGGCTGCGCCCAGCGGAACGGGTGCGCACCCTGCCAGAGCGCGATCCATGCCCCTGCATATCGAATTCGCTAGCAACGCCGGTCCGGCTGAAAGCAAACCTGCCAACGAAAGACAGAACTATGCCTCAAGTAATTACTGACATTTAGATACGATTACACAGCAGAGTAGCGAAGTTGTTTCAGCGGTCGTTAATCGCAATTTCGTGTTTGTATGTATCTTGGAAACATCGTAAAACACATCACCGCATCATCGCTAGATTTCCCTATTCATTCCCTCGGCTTACTTCCAAATGACCACTTTTTTGCAGGTTCGAATCATGCAACTCCTAAAAACCAGTAAACGATGGACCCATGGATGATTGACCTCACTTCCTGGCTCCTGTAGTAGTATTCGTAGATAAACATCCTGCTTGTGTTTGTTGAAACTGCATATTAATGATAACTAATTTAATTTTGTATGTAACCAATGCAACATAAGAACGCGAATACAGTAAACAAAAGAACACAGAGTAGTGATTAAGGAGCATCAACTATCATAACGAAAATCACAAATCTTCTCGCGGTCTTCAGCATTTATAATGTCAAAATGCGAAAGTAGGTAGAAAGCGTCTTTTTAAACTAGGAAAACCATATTTCCAACAGATTCCAGGGACTGAACAGTCAAGCACCAATCATTACATGCAGGGCGATACTAAGAAGACGGTAAACCATTTTACTGACAGAACTCCTGTTAATCGTTTTTTCGGTCTGAAACTGCGTCTCCCACAATAAGAGCGTGCGCTTTCTGTAAAAAAATAAAAACGGATTCAGTTGTGAGAATCAGCAATCAACTGAACACAGTAACTATCCACATTTCTTCCCGAACACATCACTCTCAACTGCTACCGTTCGTTTACTGTATGTTTTACAATTCTGAACCACGCAACATTTTATTTACAAATTTTGTGAATAACTAATTTTGCGAATTAAACTGAAAACTGATTAGTGTAGCACTGAACCATTAACTTTATTTCGTTTTCAACATAAAACACGGTTTACATTATTTTATGTAAATATATATACAGCTCTAAAATTTTGATACGCATGCCCAAATTTTGATACGCATGCCCATAACATTTTGTTCCTTCAGTTCATGGAGTAACTAACATACCTGCAATTTTTCGTGTTCAGCCAGCAAACGATCGTACTCGGAAGTCAGGCCTTCACTCTGCATTTTAATAGCATGCAAATCCTTGTCCTTTACCTCGAGTTCTGCAAACGAAAAGCATTAACCTTGTACAGCGAAAACTGAAAAAGCAAATTCCGAAATGTACCTTTGGCAGCTGATCGCAGGTCTCCTTCAAGTTTCAGAATCTGAGCTTTCAAGGCAGCTTCCGCCTCCGGGATTGATTTTCCTTTCTGCTCGTTCAACATTTCGCGAGCCATTTTAGAGGCATTTTCGGCTTGTTTGATAACCGCACTGTTGGAAATAATCAACTGCGCTTCGTAGGACAGCTTTCCGGCCAACGATTTGATGATACTACAAGGAAAAAAAACGTTTTGCTCATATCTACTGTGAGTCAATCACGCAGCTTATTGCTTACAATACACAAGCCCACAATTTTTGCGTGTTATGTAAAGCCACAAGCTTCAAACCGCTGACCGATGTACGCTTACTGCAACTTGCAAGTGAGTTGCCATTAGATTCATTTTTATTTTCAGTTGCAGTTTAGTAGCAGTTACAATTCTAAATATATTTTCCGTAACCCAAACACGGGAAACCAAAATTAAGGAAGCCCACTTACTAGAAAAGGAACAAAGCGAATCCGGCAATGTAAAAATTCCTTTGGGCTCTGAACAACTTCATGTGGAACTGCACTTCAGCAGCCGGGGCCTGTGATGCCACATCAGCCAAATCGACGAATGATTTGGTATACCGACTGACATCCCGGATGGCATCTAAAGCGTACACATTATACACATTTGTATAAAGGCTATATGTGAAACAAACACGTATTTCGATTAAAGAATCATCCTATTAATAACTAAAATCGGATAATCCACGTCATTAATGACGGACAATCTCTAAAGGGAACTTACCCAGAAGGAGAAGGCCCATTACACCCACTAAAATGTGCTGAACGTATTTGTACTTCTTTATCAGCAGCACAAGCCGCGAGTTGAAAAATCTGTGCCATCTGTAAAAAAGGAAACGCCAATACATCTGGAGTGGGTCTGCTTCCGAAGCGAAAGTTGCCCCAACATCGTATCAGGACTTAAGAGACCTACGTAGTCGGATTGATGAAAGGCAGGAGCATCAAGATCGTAAACGCGATTTCTGCGTATAAAATAGCAGCAATAGCAGTCCACTGCAGACTCATTTTGTTCGTTAATTTACTGAGCTTCCACAGAAAAACCCGACTAGTAAAGTATTTCGGAAATAACTTGATTATCAAAGAAACCCGGGTGAACAGGAGATCGCTTCAATTTGGTACAAATAATTATTTTCATAAATTTAGAACTTTATGACTTTGTCGTTATGATTTCCACTGATAAAACACACAAACGCAACAAATTCCAACTTCCAAGGTTATGGTCCGAGATGCTCCTGATGCAGAGACATCCTATTGGTGCAGAACCGCAATGAATCACAACGGGGATTTCCTAAAAACTGGGCTTTTTTCTTTTCGGTCATAATTGACTACTGGAGGCGTCTGGCTTTCTCCGCACAAGACAGCTAGGGCATCCGCCAGGTATGTCACTGCATCATAGAACCGCCTTCGGCCAGCCCTGAGCCCGCTGCACAGTACGTTTCGGCTTTGTTGTCATTATTCTCTGTCTGACAGTCGGACTACTACTTTGATCTTCCCGCTTCCGTAATAAATTTACGCTTTATTGATGGTGTTGCATTTTGTTTCACTTGCGGTCTACGGGTGTCCTATCAGTTTCGATGATAAAGATTTTATTTGATGTTATTATTTGGGCATAAAACTGAACGTTTCGCTTTGCATAGTCAGAGTTGCTGTCGAGTTCGGCGAGCTGTCATTCCGGAATCCGCGGTATGTGTATAAAACTAGTAAAAGTACACAGTACCGATATAATTCTAACCCCAGACTTCCCCAAGCGAAAGGTACAGGTACGCATACTGCTTACATACATGAAACTAAGCTCTCCGTTTTGTTGGAATACGTAACTCGGCTTTGTGGAGCTGGATTTCGCCTTTCTTGATCAGTACAGCGCAGCGCTGTGTGGCTTGTGCCTCAATTAAGCCGTTAAAAACGCAAAAATTTCGTAGTATTTGGTGCAGCTCTTTTAGAGTACATTCAATACAAGGTAACAAGTATTTCGATTATCAGTGCCGTTGAAAGTGGGTTCGGAATACTGGGTGGTAGGATGAAAATACAATTTATGTGTTGTCTCCCAAACTGAACTGCTGTCTGTTCACTGTTGTAAACTAATTATTAAATAATTGAGAGCATTATTTTAGGATATTTACGGTGGTGTGCTTCAGTTATGTCGCAAAGTCAGTCAACGTTTGCCGAGCCGTCGACCCCGATGAGTGTACATAAATCGGAGCCCCAGGCGATTGGTGGATCTCCTCATAAAAATTATCCTTGTCAACCTCGCTTTCTACCGGATCAGCTGGAGTGCCTTGCTTGGCTTGCTGGCAAGTGGAACGTTTTTGAACCTGGGAAATGTCATTATCCCACGATAAAGGATTTTGCTTACGCGGAAAAGATCGAGTTCGTTTTTGGGGGCCAGCCCATGTTGGACTATAAGTAAGGCTAGCTACGTTCACTGTTGGGCATCCCTGCTCTACTCCACGGTCTTCCGTGATTTCGCAGTCTACAACAATTTCTCTGTGGGAAACAAAATTATGTTTGTTTGGTTTGAGCATAGTAGTACGTACTTCCCTTTGCTCTTCGCATTTTGAAAATATGTTTTCAGGGCGGAATCCTGGGATCCTTCATCGCAGCCTCACAAACTTTTACATCGCGAGCAAGGTTTTTTGCGGATCAAACCAGGCACTAACCAGATTGCTTTTGTTTTGGCTCATAACTTCGGTGCGTTTCCGTGTATATTTCTCCTGGTTTGTAGATTAATTGAATATATGCATTTAATTGCGCTTTCATATCCGCCGGTTTGTGGTTTTATACTGTAGCTTTGGATTGATTATTGTATGTGTACTTCGAGCTAGATCAACTTGTCAGCAGTTTCCGTTGTTTGTAACTTATAGTTGTCAATATTGTTTGTATATTTTTCTAGGAGTGTCCGAAACACTGGAAGGGACTTGCATGAAAAATCAGCTGGTTGTGGAGACGACTGGGATCAGCCGGATGTCCTTTGCAGCGGAACCAGCTGTCGTGCGAGTAAGTCGTAAAAAGATTTATTCGTCGTTTTTAATTATTGCAGTTAGGGCGTTGTGTTTTTGTTTTGAAGTTGCCGTAAGTTGACAACAACACTGAGTTGCATTGCTTGTGTCCTTATACAGACTCGCCGAACTTATAAATATGATCCAGAAAAGGAAGAACTGGAGCACATTATGGAAATGGAAACAAAGAAGACGCCTCTGACTGAGCATCTCCGCATCAAATACAAGCGTGCCACCCATACAAGTTCGGACGATGCATTAAAGCATTAAATCTGAATTACGAGACATTTCTGTCTGACAAAGTACAAACTGTTTACTCTGTGGAAGATTTGTTCCGACAGGTTTCATCATGCACAGTCTCTCAATTGTTCCTTGCTTTCTTTTCCCAACTTATTCGGTGTTGTATAACATCAAATTTGCCTTTAGTTTTTGTATTCGTAAACGAACTTTAGTAAGTAGTGGCCAGTCGAGAGTTAATGCACGCCACGGTTGAATTATTTTATAACGAAAAATTAATAAATTTAATAAAAAACGAAATACGAAGTTTCTGAAAAATTTAATACGAAGTATCTATATTTCGGGTACAGTACTAGTATTGCAGTCTATGGTTGAGATTCTGAGAACGAATGAATATCTTCGATTGTTAACAAAATTTATTCTTTTCTTCATTTCCCGCTTTCAGGAAATCAAATCGAAATTCACCGGATTGAGCAGCGAATATGAACCACAGGCAATTACAAAAACACGGATCACTCTTAATGTTAAAAATTCAAAACACGGCACACTGTTGTAACTCTTAATTATTAGAATCAGATCTTCGCGAGTGCTGGATTGCTTTGATGCCTTCTTGCTCCAGCCGTTTCAAGACGGGTCGGTAGATGTCTTTTGAAATCGGAACAACCATACCTCTTCGTTGGATCTCTTTGTCCAACAGCATCTTTGTACCGATGGCTGCGGGAAATCCTACGGTTTTCGCCATCGCCGTATATCCATTCTGTTCGCCGTAAACGACTAATGTGATTTCTCGCATTTCCTAAAACACAAAAACTTCTGTCCTCATGATATCTCGATGAAATTTATGTAAAGTATTAAAGGAATTTCTAGCGCCGGATGGGAGTGTGGATGTTGGTTTAACTCGACACACCTTGCTGTTGTTTGGCCAGAGTATTCCGATATCATGCCGCAATATCACCATGTCCCGTTCATTTTTGCCATAGGACAAACGATCCTTTAAGTAGTGAGCCAAGGTATCCAATGGAGTGTTCCTCTTTTCAACTTCCGTATCGTCAAAAAGGCCTAGCTGAGCCATGGCTTCCACTCTTTGAGGAGAACCCGCTTTGTCAACTACTGCTCTTTTTAGATTCTCCACTAACGCGTCTGAATTCTGACTGGCCAGCGTAGCTATCAGTTGCCTCTATAATTCGTTGTAAATTTAAAAATTAAATTAGAAGCAAGTGACTAACAAAGTCCTACCCATGTCAAAGAAGGCCCGTCGGGATGAAGCGCGGGATGCGGCGTCGTTTGCAAGAGGCCGGTTCTGATCAGTCCAATCAAACAGTCAGCATAGCCTTTGTATCTCAAAGTTCCTCTCATACAAGTTTCGGCTCCTTCGATTCCGTATTCTTGAAGATAATGAAGTGAATCCCGGTTCGAATAACCTTCTAAATTAAAACCGGGGAGGAAATCAAAGGATTTGGCGCTTTCCATCAATGGTATACCGCCCGGCGGAATTTCCTTGACCTTTACAACAGAAAATAATGGAATTTAACTGATGATGTATGACACCGCAAGATTATCATACGGTAACTCGCATACGGTGACTCTACTTAATATGTTTAATTAATGGGTAACATCTATCATAATATTACTAAACTAACTAAACTAAACTAAACTAAGGTTTAGTAATATTATGCATCTATATAACAAATCCATGCAAGGGATTTAATTAAATGAAAGAAAAAACGGCCAGCATGTGAACAAACTGACGTTAACATATTTCGCATGCACAAAACTTATTACACATGGCACTTTAAATCATCTGACAATTTCAGTGAACAAGTTCTGTGTTCCATAAGTCGCAGAGGTGGTTTTCCTGATATGGAGTTAAGCCACTTATCGCATATACTGTGCTCTAATATACCTGATTGCTTTCAATATATCTTGCACCGTTGAGAGCTGCCAAGAAAACACTGGCCGGATTCCAGCTGAACTTGTATCGCAAAGGATTAGTAGCAAACTCTGGGGCGGGCAGACCACCACAAAAAGACCGAAAAGATGTGACCTAAATAAAAGAGGAGACATATACGGTAACCAGTTTTCGGTTTTCATAGATAATGCTTTCTAACCTTTCCTCCTAGTTCTTTCACTTCATCAAAACATTCCATCGCTAACAAATGGTCAATACCGGGGTCAAGACCCATTTCGTTCAGTATGGTCACTTCTGCATCCGCTGCTCTAAAATTTATAAATGTTGTTTGATATTAAGCGATGATAATAATGTCTTTGTGGGTATGCATAACCGGAGGGTCAGATTTACCTTTTAGAAATGTGTTCACCAGCTGGTTGTTTGGTTAATGAGCTGCTATAACTGGCCGTAACCATATTCACTTTATGATTTATACATAGCTCGGCAACTTTGGGATGTAATGAATAAGGCAAAAGGCTGACCACAACGTCGTAATCCGGAATCATTTTATTCAGCTGATCTGGATTACGGTGAACATCCAAATGCACAGCATCGGTATTCTTATACTTCTGAGCCAACTGGTCAGCTTCGTCTTTCAGGGCCGAGGCTAATGGTAAAAACAACAGTGAAAATGTAAGCCCACACCAAAAGAACTTTCAGGGAAACGTCACATTTAAAGTTCGGTCGTACCAACAGTAATTACCACATTGCCATCGCGGGAAAGATAGTCTACTACAGGCGGCGCAACATATCCAGCTCCTAAGATAAGAACTTTCTTTGATCCTGCAGCCACATCCATGTTGGTTTTCGCGTGAGACCGCTTTTTGTGTTGCCGCAATTCTTCAATATACTCGAAATTGGGCGTCAGGCGGCCATTGGAAGCGATAACAGCCTGCAAATAAAATCAAACCACAATAACATCACGATCGTAGGACGGCATAATTATCTATATTTGTATGCATCACGCAGGTTCAAAACCGAAAGTGCAGTATCCTGCTAATAAATTCGTACATACGTTTTTGACGACGGGACCGGAGTCATATGTTCCGAACTCCTGCTGCGCGTCTGATTTCAACTGTACAGAAAAACAATTTGTGATTTGCCAAGCGTCCTGTCATTTGGACACAATTCATTTGAAACGCTACATCAGCTGTATGTACATCTAAACTAGACTAGTTTCGAAATACGAACTCGTACGTGAGCCGGCACACTGAGCCGGTGAGCCCTGACAATTAGTGAGTTCTGATTTGTTGAATTATGGTGACATTAGCATAGTACTTTCACATGTTAGCCCTAAACCTTTCCCAATATTATTACGATTAGAAGAATATGTTGCTGCTAACGCTTTGCCTATAGCTGATCAATGAATTTCCCATCTTACCATATCAGGAATGTATGGTAAAAGTAATTCTCCAAAAAAGTCTGTTGCTTCCCTAGGAAGTTGAGCCGGCATGTTATCAATCGAGCAAACAAGCACTCCAGGCCCAGCGAAACTGTAATCAGACCAACATCTCAACGCTGCGATAAAGTTCAAATGATAAAGCGGCGCGATTAATGTCTGAAGATAAAAGACTAGTAGGATAAAAGCCGGTTATTACCTTTCGGTATTGGTATGTTGATTAGCATCGTACAAACAAAATGGTTTATCAATCGTTGTACATTCCGTCATGAACTCTATGGAACCACCCGGGTCTGCACTTATGTCACAAATAGCCAACAGTCTATGAGGAAGCTGTGGACATCCAACACTTGTAGGTAACCTTAGAAATCAGAACAATTTTTTAAAACCATAACTAAACGGTAAAAAACAGAATTACCGGTTACAGAATTATTTTATCTTACCACGGCTGATTTGCGGGTTGCAGGAGTTCCTTTGCATCTGGTATCGTAATTAGTCTAGGGGCGTTGGGAGCCCAATAAATGCCGTTGATAATGCAAGATGCGTATGGCGCAATCTGCAAGATGAAACATTAAGGACAGAAACTAATAACCATGCCTCAAGCAAGATTTCCGGTGCCAACCGAAAACCCTGAAAATCTAAAAGCGATAAAACGATTTACTGTCACAGTGTCACCCATACTTTTTGAGCGAATGTAGAAGAGTAGCGTTGAGGATAATTCGCAAATTCTTCCGGATCGAAAGGACCACCATCCTTTCGAACATAGTGATCATCGCGACTTACGACACATCCATAAACTTTGTTCATGGCTAGAAAAAAGTTACTCAATTCAGTCGTCCGTCTACAGTTTTTGCAGGATGGTCTACATGTAATGATGAGAGGGAATACCACGACAAACCTCCATGAGCTGCCACCTTAGGAAGATCAGCCGGTTCAACATATTCGTGAGGCAACTCCTGAAACATCTCTTGAGCCCCCTGCGAAACGTTGCCCGAGCCGGTGAAAATAAAGGTAAGAGGTCCGATGGATTTCGGCATGAGGTCGATACTGATTTCATAACCGGCGTCACGGAAGGCTTGCTTGGCCATCGAGCTGCTTCGATAGTTATGGGCTGGACCGATATACTGTACAAGTCATCATAAAATTATTAAATATTACTTGGACTTTAAAACTCACTAAAAAATCTTGGCTGCAGTTCTTATTAAAAGTTGTTGCTCACCATGAATGGAGTATGGTGTCCGAGAGCGAGTAAACGAATCCCCATCCCATGCAAAACTGCAACAAACTACAGTCGTAGCCGTAACGTTGCCCTTAATAATAATTTTATACAAAAAAAATGCATAGTGCATATACTTCGTGTTCTTTAAGTTTTATTGCTTGTCCAAGCAGATCGTTTGAAAAACAGTCAATCACAAATGTTTTACCCTGCAGCACCTGCAAACTTCGTCTTCGGAGACAGTCTCGCCTACACAAAACTGAATTAAATTTTTGTATTTAAGTACGCTTTTGCAAGCATTACTCGATATTGTACTGGCATTTTATCAATAATTCATTGTACATACTGTTAATCATTCCAGCCACGCCGGCCCATTTCCCGAAAGCGACCACGCGTTGACCGTCTTTATCCACCATCTTTTCGTAGTCAATCAGCCGGATATTCTTCTCCAAGCAAGCATCCAGAAGAGGCATATTGGCTTCTTGGGCTTTAATAGTATGCGAGAAAAAGCAATACGTTTTGCCGGGTAAGACCAATTCCGACGGGGGCTTCTTGATTCCAATAATAAGGCTAGCGTCACTGATGTCTTCTTGCACAATCGCCCCGGCAGCAGAATATGACTGCAATGCAACCGAAAACGATGATAGCCCTACATCCACTTGTAGTGGTAGTAATTAGTTATGGCCAAAAAATCAAATGATGCATTAAAAAATCCACAGGTGAGGAGGATAGCTGATGGTGGATTCCTCGGGGATACCGGCATATGTAGAGGCTCTGGACCAGGCATACGTCATATGCTTAATTAAACTGAACGATTACTCACATTTTACATACGCAAAAAAAGCGGCATCTTTGCTAATTTTTATTATCATAAAAATATTTATTCCACTGGCCATTAGAAAAATATCGAGTAGCCACACCTTCATAGGATAAGCCCGTCGATTGGAAGGTTGAACCAAGACCTTCGCGCCCTTGCGAACTAGTTTTCGCACATGCTGAGGAGCAAGAGGCGCTCGTCTGCAAATTAAAATTATTATTGTTCCTGCCGACGTGATCATTAGGGTCAGACTACGAAAATTAATAATGTCCTGGATCACCTTTCCCAAATGGACTGATCTTCCCTTCGAATGGCCATAACCCTGTTCTTCGGCACGGTAATCTTCGTCCGAAAACATGTTTGGGACGTTGCAGAATGTGACCGGAGGTGAACTGGCCATAAAAGCACCCTCCGGATTAACATGTTGATGAAGATTGTTGAAATATCGTAACGCAACTATGCGTACTTCGTACCGGTCAACACCGCGAACAGCAAATTATAGACAAAGCAATATCACGCAGATTCACAAACTTAGAATAATTGCATAACTAGCACGTCCACACGCTTTTTCGGAAAAAGCATCCAGAAAAATGCCGGAGTCTGAGCAGGAATCACTATCACAAAGGTTCTGGTGGGAGTAAGCAGCGAGTACTGTAGCTGATGTACTGCTACAGACAGACTACTGGTATTCAAATCTGCAGGCTCACGCGTTCATAGGCGTTGCGTGTCACCTTTAGGAGATAGGCGAAAATAATAATGCCTAATCAAGAAACATCGTTTCAAATTAAAAATTCTGATATCAATTGAATTATAATAATTTGTTGCACAGGCGACAAATTTCGCCTTCCGGTGACGCTACCAAGTTCAAGGCCAGCGTGCAAGTGCAACGCTGAAATTTTGTCCACCATGTGACATAACCCAGCGCGCACACGGCATTGCGAACTTGAAACACATTCTTTGGTCGACCAGTTTGATGTTTCTAAGAAAAGGATCATAAATATAGAACGCAAGAACTATACGTTCCGATTATATGGTTTTTCTATCCGCAGACAGATACCAGCCCAAGAAGTTATAATTATCAATACAAGCACCACGAACGGAACTGCGGGGACGCATAATGAGTCGTTTTCTTGGCTTCGGGCAAGAGTCCATTCTGGCACTGACATTGAACTGTTGCGTAATGATCGATATCAGGATACGCGCAGTCTCGTTACAAGCGGATACCATTACCGGTCTTTTCTGCCGTAATACTGAGACCATAAGAACAGCTAACAGAATTCACTGCAAGAGCGGTTTTAGGTGGGTACAAGGCCATGTTAAAGCGTTCCTAACTCCCTACCTTTGCTGTTTTAACTACCTTCCGACCCTGTACTTTGCATTGAGTTTACTGTTTACTTGCCGTTGATTGGTCACGCCTAACCGGCTTCTGCCTTCTCTCATAAATGGTGAAATGAAAATCATAAACATACCCGACAACTCGGAAATCTGTTCTCATAGAGTGCTGAAATCTACCGAAAGCTGCTGTGGATCCTTGTGTAAAGTGTATTAGTATTACTAATTTAATCTACGGTCGATACTCCGACGTTTCACCGGTGTCCAGTATGTTGACTGGTCTGGGTCACTTATAATATGGCCTAAAATCTCACGCAATGTCCATTCGACAGTTGTAATCACGTCATAATAACCAGAGATCTAGTAAGTACTAGTACATATGGTGAAAATACCGGCTGCCGAAACTTGAATAACTGCCAGTGTTTCGAAATATTATTATTCTTATCTTATAAGTGTAATTGGGTAAAATAAGCAATATTCCAACCCTACTGAATAGTACTCCAGAATCCCCGAAGTTCTCCAAAAGGAATGCAACATCGGAAGAAAATACATTGCTAATCAAATACATTTCGTTACAGAGTAGCAGGCTAGCAGCATATATTTCTTGTGGATAACTTTGATTATACAGATGATAGGTACTATGGTAGTACAGATCAGACTTTGCCCATCTTTTGGGTGAGGTGAAATTTTCCCCATTTTTCCCATCCCATCTCATCTTTTAGGTGAAAATGAGGATGAGATGGGAAAGAGCCGCAGATGAGGTGAGATGGGCTGGGATTGTTGAAAGATGGGATGGGACCAAGAAACAAATAAAAACAGGAAAAGTTGATATTTTAACCGGTTTTTCAGGCTTGGAGCACGTAAAAATTCACCATACGAGCTCCAAAAACAGAAAATTTTCCGCGCTCCGCGCGGATTTTATCAATAAGTGAGCATATTTTCCTACAAAACCAAATTTTTTTTCGCTGGTGGCTCTGTCGTATGCGGAAACCCTGCAAAATTAGCTTTGTTCAGCCTCTAAAAAATGGGGGTGGAGATGAGATCGCAAAGGTGAGATGGGCTGAAAATTTGTGTAGCCGGGAGTGGGCTGGGGTGGGAATTAGACGGTGGAGATGGAGGTGAGATGAAAGTGGAAAAAGCGAAAATGGGCAAAGTCTGGTACAGATAGAGTCCAGACGCAATGGTGCAAGAAAGAAATTTTACGTTATTCCAGATTCCCTTAGAAAGTAAGCTGCTCTGTAGTCCGAAATGTTGGCAGTTAGCAGTAGCACACACCTTCGTCCCCAATCCCATGATACCAGATTAAAAAATTCAAAATCCAGAGATGCAAGAAACAGCAAGTGAAAAACAAATTTACGGTTATCCGGTTCGCTTTACGATATGTGCTCCGGAGTCTGAGTAGAACGGTTCACTGATTTCTCCAATATTCAAACCAAAAGCCGTGTCCTCGAAAGCCTGCACAGAAAATCATTCTGGTATTTACTACAACGCTTTTCATGCAGGCTCTTGCTTACTTTTTGCATCTGACCCCGCCCGAATTCGCCCAGGTCGCCACCTTTTTGGGCCGAGCTGCAGTCGCTGAACTTGCGCGCCAGCTCGGCAAAATCCGATCCATTTTGGATTTGTGCAAGATAACCTAAGGAGTTATTATTAAAGATATTAAGAAGTACGCTTTAAACCTAGCAGCAGTATTATAGTATAGTATCGCAGCAGTATCGAGCATAGCAGTATTGTGATTTTTTGCATTGTAAGGGTTCACGCTTAATTTTCTAAAACAAGCTTAGCTAACAATCATGTGAAATATATATCAGCAGATAATTATAAGAAAGGCATGGTCCCTCTTCCCAAGCATTCAAACATTCATAAAAAGTTTTTACTCTAATAGATAAATGAAAAGTCCAAAGTTAACTGTTAACAGCAGAATAAAGCATACCTCGCACAATCTGAAGAGCTTCTTCCTTGCTCCTGGTGATATTACTTTCACGCCATGACGAAGGCCTTCGCGATTCTCGATGCTTCACCAAAATATGCGACGCTCGCACCTTGTTCGGCACTGCATTACCACCATCGCCAGAACCGCGGCTTGTGGTACCTGGAGGAGGTTCCCAGCGACTTTCGTTAGTAGTTGCGTTGAAATAGTAAGGTTTACCTGCGAAGCGAATACAAACACTAATGACCAGCAAATCTGCGACCATTACACAAAATCTTGCTACGTATGGTGTTAAATATATGCAAAAGCACATGAGCAAGCACAGAAAATCTACGACTGCCAGAGTAAGGCAGGAGTACTTATACCAAATTAGTATTACAAAATGCCGTACCTGTGGATCGGCTCACACTTTTAACCCATCCATGCGGCAGCTGCTCTTCCATATTTCCAACTTCCCTGCTACCTTCCGCTTTATAGATTTTACAATCAAAACTATCCGAAATAGAGGCTCAGCGCAAAACTAAAATTTTATATTTATTACGAGTTAATTAACATTGAAATACGAGTAACAAGTCAAAGTGACGCTCTAAGATATCTTGCCCTCTATCTCTAACCATAAGTCGCTCTTGTACAGTAAGTACTTATCAGTTCCGTGTTTTGATGTTTGATTCAGCTCAAACAAGCCCGCGGTGGTGGTGCGGCAGCGGTTTGTTTTTCGAGCACGCGTTCTTCCCTCGTATGGGAACAACGCCCTCATTGGCTGTGATAATTTAACATCACAACCAATGAAAATTGTGAAATACCGGATTACACGGCTCGATTATACTAAAATATTTAGTAGCGCCTAATTAGTAGCACCTAACCTCATATCGCGTTGCTATTAAAAAATTTAGTAGCACCTAGATATACTGCACTGCAATAAAATATTACTAGCACCTATTTAGTAGCACCTAGACATGACCTACATCGCATTACTATAAAATATCAGAACACCAAATTAGTAGCACCTAGACATAACTTACACGTGGCTAGAAATAACCTAGAAATATTTGTAGCACCTAATCAGTAGCACCTACATATATTGCACGTGCATTGCAATTTGCAATAAAATATTAATAGCGTCTAATTAGTAGCACCTAGACGAAATTCGCATTGCAAACGCGAATTTATTAAACTATTTAGTAGCACCTAATTGGTAGCGTCTAGACGGTAATGTGATGGTTGCAAACGCGAATTCATTAAAGTATTTAGTAGCACCTAATTAGTAGCGCCTAGACGGTAGTGTAATGAGCCCATTTCGCAATTTCTATTGGTTGTGATCACAGCCAATGAACGCATTGTTCCCATACGAGGGAAGAACGCGTTTATTGTAGCGCCTCCAAGGTCGGGTGCGCGTGCCGTTATGAGCACACTCGTTGTGGCTAGATGGATAAACCTTCGGGTTTTGAAAGATAGTCTACATCGAGCGCGGTTTGGACTTAGATGGGTGACCACTCTGAGTTCAGGCTGCGAGTGCACGGCCCGCAAGGCCTGTGTGCGAAGTGCTTGGCTGAGGCAGCAATACCACCAAGGAGACGGGCACGGGAGATGGAGGATCACAATACCACCCTGGCTACTCAGTAACGGCTTGGACTGAAAGGCCTGTGATGTCCGCAGCACCAATCGTGCCAAATGGAAGTAGACAGGGAGATCAGTCGAAGCAGAGGATTGGCGCCTTCCCTAGAGATGTGCTTGCTGTCTACCTGTTTAGAATTCTCTTAGTCTGGTTCTGTTGAACGTCTTGCTCTGCCCGAGCCGGTTAGCGCCGATGCGCGTTAAAATAAAGCTGGCGCTCGCGTTTGCGAGCTGCTGCATACGATCTGTCTTTGGCAGTGTTATAGCCTCCATTGTAACTCTGCGTGAATGAATTACCGTACTTTGCACAGAATGTTCTGTCTGTCACCTGATTAATGCATTGCTGAACATGTAAACCGAGCCGTTTTCGAAACAACTAGCCGAATAAAGCAATAGCAAAGTACGGCTGTGTTTTTTTGCCGTTGGTTGCCGTTGCTTTACCGTACAACCGCGTGAAATCCATTACTACGGTGGCACCGTAGTATGGATTTTACGCGGTTGTGTTAGAATGTGGTGCTAAAGTAGCGGAAGTGCAAATTATTCACGACGCTGCTGTGAAATTTAATGATTATTATTAATTAATTAATTAGTTAATTTAAATATTATTCACGACGCTATTGTGAATTTGTGAAACGACGCTATTGTAACAGAAGGCGAAGCCGCAGGTGACCCCGAGCTCCGGTACAATACACTGAATACAGATAGGACTCATACGAGTCATAAAATAATAAGCGAGACACAATCAGACACTGCGTCGTGAGTGCTGCGATCTGCGCATTGTTACCGGACAAACTGAAATTTAAAAAAACCCATGACTGGAAGTATGTTAATGACTTGATAAGTGTGGCTGCACTGGCTGGCCAAAATTCTAATACATAACAACGGGCAATATTTTACAATTCAAATAGCAGACTGATAAAGAAAAATACTCAAAGGAACTTCTATAAAACAGCACATATTGTATAAACGGCAAGTTTTGAAGTATATTACGGTTTTCTCTGCAGTGTACCGAACGGGAAAATGTTAACACAGAAAGATCAAAATAGAATTTTCGGTAAAACAGTGAACCCAGCTACGACTACGAGTACAGCAGCAGCACCTTATTTTGAATTATGCAAAATTTTAAATTTTTAAATTTCTAAGCATGAATGAATCCAACGAAGCGTAGAATATATCTGAATTTGACAAATGTACGTATCTTAGAAGTCATGAATAACGATGAGCTTATATATTTTTTGCATTTTAATCTACCACTGATTTATTCCGCGCAGTTTGCGCGGGGTCTACTAGTTGTCATGCTATTTTTTTACCCTCACTGATATAAGTTAAATTAAATTAACAAGCCAGCCTAATAGAAATTACAGAAAACTTCAGCAGTTTTTAAAACTAACAAGGTGTCACGACACAAATGATTTTTTTACTGTACTCGTAGTCTCGTACTTTAGCTATTTAAAAGTTAATTAATGTCAAGTTGTCGACGTCAATTTGAAACAAGTGGTGGTGAAACAGAAATATTCTAAGCGAAACGACCAGATTATACAATTATCCATTGATACTGTACTTCTTTCTTATAGGGTACTTTACACTGATTGTGAAAACCCGATACACAACAACAAATTGGAAATTAAACTGCCAAAATGGAAATAACGCGTCACGGGTAAAATTAGGTTTATAAAAATTATGGATACCGGTATCATGGCAAACGAAAAATGACTTTACAGTTGAAAAGTTAATCTAAAAAATGAAACTTAAACAAAACAGAAACTGTGACGAGATCAATATGGTTGCAAATCAACTGCAAATGGACGCATAAAACCAAACAAAATCCAAACTGCAGGTCATGAACATCCAGGAAAACGGAAACAACAGACTGCGCGTACAAAATTCCAGGACGGCCAAAATGTAATTAAAATCAGTCATTCTCGTCTTCCTCTATTTCGTGCATTTCCGCTTTACTGACTGCATCCGCGTAGTTAGCTGGATACAGTTTGGAGACTTTGGTTTGGACAATTCTTAACCGTTTATACAATGACTCGAGATCTTTCTTCATTTCCAATAAGAGCTTGACGTGGTGTTTGAAGTCAGTAGCGTACGCGTCGATACGCTGATGGCTCAAGGTGTTGCACGTGTCCAGGGTTTCGTTGGCCTTCTCCAGTTTGGCCAGCATTTCACGCTGATCATGCAGCACTGCATTCAGCATTCTATCATCCAGCCAACCTTCAGGTGCAATGCTGGAGCTGGTGCTCGGGGAAGACATACTGCTGGCGGATGCAGTTTCCGAAGGCACTTCGGTTTGGGAATCCAGTTTGCTAGCGGGGTTTTTCAACTTGGATTCTCTGTATAAATGAGGCGAAGACCACGCTTAGATTAAAACCAGCATCAATACTTCTACAGTACACTTAAAGCGAGATACTTAACAGTAACTGCGTAACACTCACAATAACCACATTAACTTTTCCGCTTTCACAATCTTCCAGTTATGCTAATGGCAGATGACAGAAAACTTCTATAGGTTTTTCCGATACTCACCACGAAAGAATCACGAATATCACTGAAATAATAATTCAAATACTTCAGCCTTCAAGATGTAAATCTAATAAAGGGTTATAATATTATAGATAAGTACAGACTGTACAGTATATTTTATCGTTAAAGAAGATCTTAATACGTACAATGTATGGCGTATGCTGTATGTACAGATACGTTTGGGAAGAAATTTTGGGAAGAACACTTGCAACCAACGTAAATACCTTTCGAGGGGGTTGCTACCATTTGTTTTGATTTCGACATCAGTCGAGATTTTAGATTTGAAAGCCGGATACCACTGCCGGAGTGATGTTTGCATGAAATTTGAGAAAAAATCATTTTTAATTTCAGAACGATGAACGGTTTCGTTGACTTTGTTAATTAATCACTTTTGGATTCCACAAATGGATGGTTAAACTGGAATGTATTATGTATAAAGTGAACACTGGATTTCAACACAGATTTCTTCGTTATGTCGAGCTATCTAGTATCATCACTCGTGGTAAGCAGCCGTGATCTTAATGACTTAATCATTCTGGCGAAGCCAAGTTGCGCAGGTTTTTTTAGTACGTTCATACCTGTAACGGTCCATTCAAACTTATTTCAAAGCACTGAAATCTGTTGACTGGCAATTTTGGTAGGCTGGCGCAGCCGCTGGAACGGCTGTGGACCTGTCGCTCTTTCCACTGGACACCGTTAAAACGCGATTACAGAGTGCACAGGGATTTTGGTATGCTGGAGGTTTTCGCCGGATTTATGCCGGAATAACTCCTGTTATAGTGGGATCGGCACCAACTGGTATGAAGTCTTTAAATTAAGTGATAGACTTCGAGTATCGAGTACGAGTGGTACATTATTCAGTAATTATTGTAAGTGCATGCGAGTAATTTTTAGCTTACAGTGATTAGTGATTACTAACCGTTACTTGCTCTTTTTTTCAGCTGCATTGTTTTTTTGCTCCTATGAAGCTACGAAACGGGGAGCAAGTAAGATATTTGGCCCTTCACAGAAATCCGAACCCTTAGGTCATATGCTGGCAGCTATGGTCGGGGAAGTGGTAAATCTGATTCCTTTTTCGGATAAAAGTAACTGAAGATTATTCCGGCGCATACGAGTATTTATATTGGGTGTAAATTTAATAGTACTGTAAATTCATCGGTATTCTATGTGAGGTTACCGGATCGGTGTGGGAAAATATTAGTTTAATTTTCTTCATTCATTTGTTTTTTTTAATGGTGAACGCTTTACGCTTCTTATCAAAATATGCTCAATTTTACAGATGGCCTGCCTCATACGTGTACCAGTTGAAGTTACGAAACAAAGGACCCAGGCTTCTCAGTTATCTAGTTTTGAAGTATTGCGAGGCACGATGCGCACGGAGGTACGTTCATATTTTTTATTAATAAACACGGTAAAACAAATAAATGCTTGTATTCTGTTTCTAGGAAATAAAAGTTATAAACCGGTTTCTATTGACCGACAATAGTATAATAAAAAGCAGCCCTTGCGCTGTCGTGGGAAGATACAATAGTTTCGTTAACGCGATTTTTTGTCCACAGGGATTTCGTGGCTTATACAGAGGATATAGAAGCACGGTTCTTCGAGAAATTCCTTTTTCCGTCATTCAATTTCCCCTCTGGGAATTTTTAAAAGTATGAAATGCAAAAGGTACGTTCATGGTACCGATTCTGAATCTGGATGCTGTTCCAGGGATACGTTCAGTCGAGGCAAGAACAGGATATATTTGCCTGGCAGTCAGCCGTGTGCGGCAGCGTAGCCGGTGCAGTGGCAGCGGCAGCAACCACTCCTTTAGATGTCGCCAAAACCAGAATAATGTTAGCCGAGGTAAGGGATACGCTCCGACTAAGCAGTGAATGTACTGGCCGAGGTGGTCACAGATCAGCGTTAACTCGTTGATTCTAACTTTGTGTGCGGTAAGAACGTGGGACTAACAATTTTATTTTACCATAATTTTACTAACGATTCGACTCTTCGATCCAGCAGAATCTTTTATAAATCGGTAATCCACAGTAATCGTAGTCCCTTGGCACTGTATGGTATATTAAGTTTTAATTACTGTAAAACTAGTGTTCGTTAACGTTTGCCTGAACTTGGTTGACATTTTGCACATTACAGTATAAGACAAAAGCTTAAACCGCTGATAAATTGTTTACGTACAATAACGTACTGTATGTTTTAAAAACTCTACCTAAATAGCGGAGCATATAAGTGCTTGCATTCGTGTTATTAGCGCCAGTCTGTCCAAGCCAGAGGAGATGTTGCTTTAGTTCTTCGAGATATTTGGAGTCGCGAAGGGTGGAAAGGGTAACTGCACAAAGATCGGCGCAAAGAACTTGTTACCTGTTTTCCAAGTGACGATTTATGTTTTTAGGTTGTTTTCTGGTGTAGTGCCTCGGGTGACGTGGATTTCCGTTGGCGGTTTTATTTTTTTAGGCGTTTACGAAAAGTTAAAGCCATGTCCAGTCATTACTTAGATGCCTTAGTTTGAAATTGACTTGAGACCAATTATCTGAGTGTATAAAATTTGATTTTTTTAAGAATTATTTTGTTGTTTCTCTTTGGCAGTTTTATCATATGTAGTTGGATGATACGGGGACACGGTTTGTTGTGATATGTACATAGTAACTGCAACTGACTGACCAGTACGATTACTGACCAGTACGATACCAGTACCAGTACTGACCAGAGTGCAACTGACCAGTACGATCTGCGCTAATAATTTGCCAGATCAGATCTGAGTGCCAGATAAATTATTTGCAAGGTTTTCTTGTTTTTCGACGTCCTCCTCCACCGATGCGCTGCAACGAGACCGCCATCAGATGACTAGTACCGCTTTTAACATTAATGCTTTCTGCAGTCTGGCAATTTCTCAATTACATAGCGCGTTCCCAGATCCTTCGCCATTTTCACTTCTTTCAATTTACGTAGTCGATCTGTTTTGTGCTCTTGCGGCGCTTCGATCGACATTTTGCTTTGTTTCGGCCGGCTGCAACTCCGAGATTTGTTTCTGGATTTACTTCTGGATGCTCGCTTACTTCCACATCGACTGCTCTGAAATTTAAATTAGCGCGGTTAGCTAAATACGTACATGCATCAATGCAGGCCACATCGAAATTAAAAACAAGGAGTGTTAGCACTACTCGCTGCGCCATTGGTGCCAAATTACGTATTTTATAATAAACGTCTACCGTAGAACATCATTTCAGTTATGTATCTTTACGCGCATCTTTGTATTGTATAGATTTTTAAAAAATTTATAGGTAGATAATCTGTGACGTTTTGGTTGGTGGTTCATCTAAACATGACTGACCTTACGCGATGCCGATCGGCGACTGCGGTTTGATCGGCTCCTTTTCCCGTTCATTCGATGCGGAAGTTTGCGTAGACGGCGCTATGTGTAAAACAATGTTCCTTTACATGGTATCAAAAACCGGAATTTAGCGCTTGACACGTACTGATATGGCACATGTTCGTAAATTTGCCTACCGAAACCCGGGATGTTGAACGCGATCGTGAACACACGGCGCTTCGAGACATTGCTGTAGTCCAGAAAACGTTAACGTTGCAGAGAAGTCAGAATTAGGACTTTCTAAGTAGAACAATAATAATAGTTAGCGTTATTAATTCAGTTCCAGTGTACGTAATAGTACTTCAACAACTAATGAATTACTTATTCTGGTTCAGACCAGATGTCCTTTGGATGGACTTGCATCCAGTTTCCAAGCAATACTGGTATACGCTTAAATTCTGAACTTGAGCTTCCGTTTCCGGTTATTTACAATGCGAGTAAGTACTTAGTTTGCGAAACGATTCATATACTAAATTTAAAGTCAAAATGTGGTTGGAGATTAATTTAGCGAATGAATATTTTGTGGAAGCCGTACGTAGTAGCCGCCCATGTACCGATACTAATTATAACTGTCGATCATTAGTGACGAAAGACTGAACGTTGTTCTAAACAGTAAAATTATAAGTAGTACAGGTGGCGGATAAATTTTGTCAAATTATTACTAGTATATAATAGTTTTTAAACCCCTGTTCGAGGACAGAGTAAAACAGGTCGGAATTCATTGTGGTCGGTAAGTATTAAAACTTAAGGTGATTACAAAAGCTTTCAAGTTAGCAAAAATAATCATGACTAATGGTCACTATGTGGAGCAGGAAATTCATAAGATTTATTTCTAACTAACAGTAGCCGCTACTTGAGGCATGTATCAATACGGCTTATAAGTTTTAGTAAATGTTTTATTGTGGTCCTGCGCTTCATGCTCGACATCGTGTCAAAAGCGTAATCACCATCGTCTGGTGTAGAAATCAATAATGAGCTTAATTGCAGATTAGCGGACCCGATAAAGGCTTTTGACATGTTGCACCATTCTGTGCCATATCTAACAATTTCGGACAGGTTTTCACTGATTTGATTCCATAGTCAATCCGATTTGCGTTTGAAAAAGGTCATTAACGGCTTATATTCTCGTCAATATAATCGATTGCATTTGCCGGCCTGTGTGTGCATGCACTATATGCGTATACTGTGCGCATGAATTCGGCTACTTTCTTTGTACAAATGGAAATATGTCCCCGCTGCACTCTGGGCGCCGGTCAAAACAAAGCGCGTTCTAACAATTTTTCAATTATGTAGGTTGCAGCATTTGTCAAGCAGGAAATTGTTCAGCATCGCTTACAATTGATTGATTAGTGCTTTCCGAGTCGATTATGGCCAGGGATTCTTAACTATCTCGTTGATGAAGTCAAAGGTCAGGAGTACGATAGGCTAACCACATGTCCTCCAAGCAATTAGATTAAACTTCCGCTGCCAGTCCCCAGTGCGCGACTGATTCATTATTCCGCGGTGAGATCCCTGCTGGATCTTTTTCCACCATACAAACCACGTCTGCACTACGCGGCATATTACACATATCCTACTCGTAGCTGTGTATCTGTGGCATGCTTCTGGGAACAGTTCTATTACTTAATTGTGCTGGACGAATTAAGCACAGCGCGAGTCGTCAGGCAAAAAAACTGACAACCCTGATCCACGTCATTAATAAAAATGCCACCAGTGTAACGTTAATGCCGCAGCAATAGCGACGGCTGTCAACGAAAACCATTTTATGACAAATGGAGGCATGTAATTTGCGACCGGATTATCCATTTTTTGAAAAATAAAGTTTTGTGTTGAGTTTGCCATGCCGGTATATTCTCGAACAATTTTCGATCAGAATAGGCGATAATTAAAATTTCCTAAGGAAAATTAGGATTACTCCCGGACGAATATTTTAAACGAAATCTCAGGAAAAACATACGCGGCGAATCACATTGTTTTTTTTATTATTTATCCACTGCCTCTTTCTTTGGTTTCGTACAGCAAAATCGCATTCTCAAACAACTTAACGGAATCGCCAGCACGAATAGCTTAAATTTACCGGAAATGGGAATACCATCAGATAAATTCCAGTTTCCACAAAGGGATCTAACAAAAAACGTGTCCAAAAGGCCAAGACGAAAAGATTCTCAAATGCCATAAAGCGCACCATATTAATAAAAAAACTTTGAAACCGGAAGTAACAATTTGTACACCTGCTGCACCGCCACGGGTACCGGAAGCGGCAGTGCCCTGCAGACTGCCGGCGGGTGTAACGCCCGCCCCACGATGGGGCGGTGTGGCCTTACTCCGCGAACGACCTTCGCCCTTTTTCGAGCCTTTTCCCTGACCACCGCCGCCCCGTGATGGCCGCGTGGGCCGCATCGTCGTGGTGGTGCTGATGAGGACGGTTGTCAGATCGTCCTGCAGGCTGACCTCGCGCAATCCATCCTCCTCATCAATCTCCACAACGCGATTATTCGAATTGGTCAGTTTATTCCCAGCGGGGAACTTCCTGCAAGTTGATGTAATCAGAGAGCCAACGGCCTTTTCCGTGTACGTCCGCAGAAATTCGGATGCGCTCTTGCCGTTCTCGCCGCAATGTTGAGATGTCAGACCATATGCACACTCCAGAAATCGATGCAGTGCTCTGTCGAAGATACCACATAAATATATCGTTTGTGTAAGTCAACCGAAACATCCGGATTAGCTGGTGCACTTACTACAGATCGAAACGCATGTAATAATCCGTCTCAAGTTATTTATACATTTTTACATAATACTCATTAACTTTTCTTCTCTTCAGTGCGATACATAAAAAGTCGCGTCAATCGCGTAATGAAAAAATACTGGATGTTTGGCGATTAGCGACGATGAATATTGCTGTTGGCAATTAATTGCAGCATGGGTGTATTTTTTTGTCATTTTCTTATCTAGTACAAATGCGTTATAATTAGAACGATGTTTTCAACCTTTATAATAAATCTTTATAAGAATGTCTGTGCCGACATCATTGCCTAAATTATAATGCTTATGTATGGCAACCCTGCAATTATGGTGTTTTTGGTATTAGTACATATTGGAAGAATATATGATACTAGTTACTACTCTAAAAGTGCTAATTATAAATGTTCTCTTATTACACATTTCAATACGTAAAAAAGTATAAAGGAATGTTTGAAATGGAAAAAATGTACCAATATAATCACTGAGTAAATATTCAGATATCGTTCACAAGCTTTTAAAACGTGCTATTTTGCAATTTGCTTCGCTGTCCATAAAGCTGGCCGCTATATATCGTTTTATGCCGCAAATGCCAGTAACTCAGACTCTGGATCAGCAATGAAACTAGTTAGCTTTTATGGTGTAAACGTATCAAATGGGTAAATTTGCCTTATTGAGGAGAAACAGGAGCTGATCCGGTTGCTGCCGACAAGTGTACAAAGATAGCTATCGATAGTTACTAAATCGAGGAAGAAATCCAGCGGCACCGCACACAACCGGCATCCCATTCAGTGCCGGCGTTAGGGCATCAACAGTTAAGCTTACCCACACATCTGCGATAGCTTATCCTGGGTTTCGGTGGCCCGGTTTTGATTTATTGTTCCAACGGAAGTGCGGAAAGCGCCACCACATTCCTCATACTGCGGAGCGACACTCCGAAAGCAATCAGCATGTTGCAGGTACTCTGCAAGCAGGAATATTACCAAGACAGCAACACAGCACACAAATCACCGCCAAAGAATTACAGGGCGTTGAGATCATCTACACACGTAATAGTGACGAGTTTGAAGTTGATTTTGACGTGACAAATGGATTAGAAATCCCCAACTGGACGCTTTTATGCAAACAGCAATCAGTACAAGTGATTGTACTTGCCGGGCGGAAATGAAAGATTTGGGAGAATCAATGTGGAGATGCACTTTGTCCTTATGCGTACCGCGCTGTGCATATATGCCATTCGCTTACCTTTACGATATTCGCCATCAGTGCATAATCGCTTCATAACTTCCTCGACGCCTGCCATATTCTCCTTGAATAAAATCCTCTGAGACTCTTGGAAACATTTTGCTACAAATCTGTCAATGCACTCCATTCCTTGATTGAACAACCTGCACATTAGAATGTGGCTTTTATTATTAATAATGCAGCCTTCTGCGTTATTATAATTGGGCATGCGACGGGCGCAAATGGCTCAAACAAAATCGAAAGAGCTACTCTCCATCAACAAGATCACCAAGTTACTATACTGGAGTAATGTTTGTCTCCCCAGTTTGTCTGTGTTGAATGCACTACGCAACATGTATACCTGTATATAATCATACGATCTGCACGCAAACTGTTATTGCTCAATCCTTATATTAGGAGGCGTTATTCAGTGTAATGAACACTAATAATTTGAAGTACGCTACATATTATATATAAAATTGTTATCTATGTTATATATAAAATGTTATATATTATAATGTTATACATATTTTGAAGTGAATGGAGATGTTAGTATGTATGGATAACTGATGTTATATATAAAATTGAAGTACGCTTCTGGGGGTCCTAAAAACACCGTTATGTATACAATTTTATTTTCACGGTGCTTTACCAGGAAGTCTTTGTATTCGTGCAGGTACATGCACTTCCAGCTAACGCTTTTCACAGTATAGACTATAATTAGTGTCTACTTTGCTTTGCTATGAAGAACAAGTTGGCCGAGCGAGTTGCCATTTTAAATTAACGTTATGTAGCAGACAGTTCACAAATCTGTTATTAACAGATGATCTTCTTTGTCATTGTAACGTTAACAGTTTATTGGAATGACGCGCTGCCTACAGTACATATATATCGGTATCTCTGTAACTATTCACTTACCATTAATTATGTAAAAGAATTATCTAAAATTTACGCGACTACAGTCTACAGAATAAACCATTTCCAGCCTGTAAACGGAAGGGTTTGTAAATGAATAACTGAAAAAGTTCAGGCTGTTATTGTTTCATCGTCCGCAACAAAATTTATTAAGTTGTTCAAATCGTTGCACCAGTAGCATCAGAAGTACATCTAGATATAGCGGTATTAAAACCAATTTTATAAGGGCAGACTATTATAACTTACTTGCAGACTGTGTTCAGCTGTTCGGCGTTAGCTGCGAACCCTATTGTAGCATTCTGCATTATGGGTTTCACGTGCTCCATACATTGCGTTAGCTCGCTCTGGTGACAGTGTTCGGCTAGGCATTTCCCACAAACTATAAACACAATAACACAAATACACTGACCGAATTGACCATCCATGGAAAAATTATCCGTAGTGAGAATAACAAAAGCCGCGGTTTACACGAGTACAGTGGGATGAGCGGCAACTTTGCAATGCGTCCTTTGTAATTTGCTAATAGACAGGACATGGCTGGATACAAGTAGCAATAAAATATTATCGATGGCCAATTGTCGATATTGATATCGATATTGATGGTTATCTTACAATGCGGTGTACATATGTAATTGAGCAACATATATCGCCGGATGTGAGCATTATTCATGATACGCTTATGTAACGGCAAATCTTGTCGCTACACACTCAGAAAAACGGATTCCGCACGTTTGCAGTGTCAAGTAGGTAAAAAACATTGTGTTTGTGCTAACATTAGCTTTACCATCGCTACCTGGTTCTGTTAGCCAAACACAAACTATAATTCCAAACATCAAGGCGTTCATTAGGGATGAGCATTAGGCAACGGACGGTTTCGGCGGGTAATGTATTGTACTGCACAGTGTGCGGCGCTCAGAGTGCGGCACGGAAGCTGCTAGCTTTCCCATCAACCCACTTCACGCAACAGTGCACGGCACTGTAGAAAAACGGTACAAAAGTACAAAATCATCTAATACTGATTAAAGGAACATTTTGATAACATGACGCTGCGGGATACGGTGCAGGTATAACATGATCCGGCTCAACGTATGCGTATAGGGACTGAAGCATTTAAGCTAGCCGGCATAAAACAGAGCCGTCTCTGCACACAAAGTTTTCGGGTAAAGGAAAATTGGCACTGACAGATTGCCGACGGCCAAATGGAAAAAAGCACAGTTGTAAAAGGGGGGATTTAGTGGAGAGAAGCCTGTGCGCGCGCCTAGAGTGGCAATGGAGAGAATAGAAGCAACTGGGAATTTATCGGTGGGAAACGGAGGAAGAACATTTGATGACAATCAATATATAAGTTGCTCTAAAACGACCTTCTAGTTATAGGCCACTAACTCATTCTTTATACAACGAATAATACTGCAGTTTGTGGTGGGTGAATTGCGCGCAATGACTGCCCCACAGCCAGAATTGCCGTTTCCCAAAAGCCCGGCGCATATATATGGAGAGAAGTATATACACTGTGTTACATATATAGTACAGCAGAATAGGAGATCATGGATGACAAGTAGCAAACGGCTTGGATAAACGCGCGCTCCACAGTCACCGCAATGCCGCAGTCGCTCCTGAATAAATGCATTGAATTATCGGTCTCTTAAAGCGGCTTGTTTAAGTCTTGTCTTCCCACTTTAACGGTTTATCATACATGATTGCTGTAAGCATACTCGTATTCCGGCATGTGCAAACAAGTGCCGGGAATATTTTTCATGGGAACCGGCAAGGGCGGGAGAGCGAGGAGGATATATACTTTACATTAAGTAGAGTTAACGTAACTGGCTCGCTGCATTTCTTTCCGACTTTTTGACCGACAATCGCGGTGCCTCCTCTCCGTACTACGCCCGACCAGCCAGATTGGTACCTTTCGTCACGATTCACTGGCGCTGGATAGTTATCAGTTCCGCTCTTTCGGGATAATGTTTCGTCACTATGCATCAACGAACTCAAAAGCAAACAGTGAACACTGTATTTTTCCGTGCGCTGCAGCAGCCGTTTAGAGTATTTTGGCTGCTGTATTTGTTCTTAAAATTGTTTCGCCGCTTGTTCGATATGTTTGTAGTGATGGAGTAATTTATCGATTCATGTTACAGTTCGGCATTCCGCTGTGCGCCACTTCAAAGCCAACACTTTCCACTTTTCAGTTGCATATGGAAATTATACAATATACAATAATAAACCAAAACCTCTACAGCCTCTCTAAAACGAAAAATGTATATTTTGCAATTGGATAACAAACTCATCCATTTTTCCACAAATACCAAATATATTTAGCACTTTTGTGATATGGCTGGCAATGGCATAGCCGCGTAATTGCATACAGTTATCTAATCAAACGAAGTGTGTATTTCGTATGAAAACTACACAACAAATTATCGGACACAACAAAAATTGTCTATGTGCTGCAATGCCACCTTTCTACTCGCATTTCAATGCAGGCGCTTTGTTTTGATGATGACGCTGTGTTCAATAAATAATGCAGTGTATTTGACCACAACAATTAAGCGATAGCGGTGCCTGAACTAATGAAAATTTTAAGGAGAAATGTAATCGCACTTGTGATATGGAGCTATAATTATATGTATCTATATTATGTTACGTACTAAGGCCATTAACTGATCAAGGAATCGTTGTTTATATACCAGTTGCCGAAGCCAAATCATGAGTTTTTCCAAAATGTTAACGACGAATAACACTTATCACCTTTTATTGCTGTTATTGTGTAATTTTATATTACTTAAATTAGTGTCTACTGCGCAAGTTGTTTTTACGTGACATGGCGTTTGCCCAGTAGAAATCGTTAGTTACATACACGTTACGTGCAGAGTCTACATACTAAACTAAAATTTCCCTGAGCGAATCCGCCTTATACAACAGCAGTACAGGTTAAGTTGTAAATGTTGAGAAAACAATAAATTATTATATCCATATATCATATTTGTGTTGTTCTTATGCACCGAAAGTGTATTCGAATTTTTTGTACAACTCATACTTACGAAGAGGAATTTACAGCAGTTTTGGGAGTAATTACAAAGACCCGAAGTTTATACCGTGTGACCGTGCACTCCCCGTTTAAAAAGTAACCCCTGTGTAAATAACGAGTAGTTGTAAGTTGGGAAAAATATTTTGAAAGCAAAAGTGTTGGCCGGTAAGGAACCGTCAGACATCGAGCTGACTGAAAGGCATAAAAAGTTCAAGGAGCATTAGGGATTTAACATCTTATTGTAAACATGTTGCGGTTTGCTCTGAATGTTGGGTGGGGATACAGTAGCCTATTCAATGCTTCATAAAAAAATCAATGGCTTATGACATGTTAACGTCACGCACGCAGTCAAGCTTTCTATCGCCCCAAAATTTTGCTGGATACACGCGTCGCACCCGGCATATTGGGCATGAGATTATCGTGTCGATGGGAATTGCAGTTAGTTAGGCTGACATAGTTTACAATCTGCTGTTGCCAAAAAAACGATAGGAAGAGGATTTCCATATTGTTAGCCAATCAGCCCCTGTCTGCCTAATCTAAGCGCGCGCGCCAAGCAATAACAAACGGACAACTTATAAAATAGTGATAACGTCTTTTAGAAAGGCACCAGTTGTTGCATAATGGTTAATGCTGCGCAAAGAAGTGGCCAATCGATCTTCCTTCAGAAAGCAATTTATGTCTTGTCCGTTTCTCCAGACATTTGTAGCATCTGGCTAATGACCTGCGTGATATGTATATGTTCCCTGCATGCCATCCTGTACTACACAAGATTTGTCTGGTGGATTGTGGACGCCGATCAGCAGAAACACGCATCCGCTGTACGCGGTCACTGCATGTGTCTGGAGCATCTCAGCGCATATATCCAGTCCAAGTCACCCCGTCCTTGACGAGTAATGATTGACAAACTACCTTACGGCGTGGTCAATCCATGGTATTGCATTCATGAAACAAATATATAATGCAACTTCTTAAACCTAAAAAAATATTGTACGAGAAAATATGCGTTCAGGATTTCTGGACTATTCAATCCATGTTAAATCTCTGGAGGTACTTGATAATCAGTCTGCTACCTGATAAGAAATTAACAACTACTAAGCTAATATAACTGAATTACATTACTTGAAAAAAAAGCTTTTCTCCGGTATGCTAACTGCAAGGAAGTCAGTAAAAATCAGTAAATGAATCAATTTGCAAACTTAATACAGTTATATGTGTTGCAAATGCTTTTACTGTACAATTTGGTGATGTCTTCGTCCGCCTACGAGTATTTTAGGGTATCTGATTAGTATAGGTATTTTTCTTTAACAAGGCTAAGCTAACCGTGTTTCAAGTGCATAATTACACGAAAGAGCCCACAAAAGAACAAATAATTTAGATGCTAAATGCACAAATGAGATTTTTAGTTTCTGTGTACTAATTCGCCGCCCACAGGAAGCAAGTTGTTACACCATGGCACTGTTACTTTTAAAGTAGTGCGCGCTTTTCCGGAAATTTCTGCTTCACTGTCAGTTTATGTATCAATTTAATTGAGTTTCAATTTAGCATTGTTCAAAACTCAGCATTGTTCGTAAACGTTTTTTGATTCGCAAGTTTGGAATAGCTTAATGGCTGGAACTATGTATTGTACGTACGTTATAGTATTCACAAAAAAAGGTTAAATGTGGAAAATCTTTTATTCTGTCTTTACAGCTTACTCCTTTATAAATTTTATACCTTCCGAAGTTCTGATTATGCTGCACATTGCATGACAAAAAGGTACAGGCCTCATATGCCTTGTGCACACCGTTATTGATTTAAAATTATAATATACTACAAAAAAAGGAAAAGTATTTTTCAAATAGGCTTTTTGTGAATAGTGTAGTTCCAGTTTATTTAGTACAATTTTACTATGGGTAACGATTAAAGAAAACATTCAAATATTCCTCGCTCTTTCATGACAACTCTTTTCGTTTGCACAGTATGTATAGATATAGATGCAATATGTAGGGTAATGTGTATAGTACCCGATCCGAAGGCATGATTTCGTACGCTCGCCTAGCGAGCACAAACGGATACAGATTTCGAGCACCCAGCGGATCGCTTGGCGAATACGCAAAACTGTTTAATTCAAAATGGCTATAACTTTATTCTGCCATTATGCACGACAACTTCTTTGGTATCAAAAATCTTCCCACAATTTTTCTCATCTTTTGACGCATTGGTTAGCAGGCTTCATCCAGAATTAGATCCTGTTTTAACAGGATCTGGTTCTGGATGAAATCTTTTGTTATTACAGGACAGATTCATAAGATCTGTCAACCAAAGCGTCAAAAGATGAAGAAACATTGGGAAGATTTTATACCAAGAAGTCGCATATGGCAGAATAAGTATAACCATTTTAATCAAGTTGCGTATTCGCCAAAATCTGTATATCCTTGCTCGCTAGGTGAAATCATCTTGATCGGGGTAGATAGAAAGAAAGCACAGCGCTACTCTACTCAAAAAAACATACAGTAGCATGCCTATATCGTAGTGTTGTGCTTTTACGTAAACTAATCTACATAAATGTGAAATTATAACAAAGTAGTCCTCATGTCCTAAACAAAATGATGCTTCCTTAACTTCATTTACCGTATAATGCCAGTTTTCCGGTATATAGTGCATTCAGCAGAAACAAGTTACGATCATGAGCAAACTACAATGAAAAATACTAATTTACCGATGATGTTCTTCTCTCGAACGAAGTTTGTGCTATAATATTTGAGTGCACCGTAATTGCTTCTATTAACACACTGTCGCGGCTGAAATAACCAATAATATCAGGAAAATCCGCTTTGGTTTTACACGTGTCCTATAAAAATTAATGTATTTTGGGTTTCAGAATCTATCGCAACTGGGGAATTCTGTTTACCGACGCAGTAGTATCTGTAAACCGGCGCTCTGTTATGACCCTGAAAATAAATGACTGAACCACAATGCATTTAGTGTCTACCAGAATAATAACAAACGTCTGGTGTTCCATATATTATTCGAATTTGTTTCTTTATAAATTTTAGACCGTTCCTCTTTCCGTGGTCCATTTAGCACGTTTCCACTGAATATCAGTTAAGAGATTAAGGAATAACAAATTTAGGCAGCATACTCTACAATTAACTATGTAATATGTACAATGGTTTACCGAAACACCTCTTCGTAGCATCCGGATCCGATATGTACGTATAATTAAACGGGGAAAGCCACGAAAGAGTTTGCGCGATTGTTTTAGAACATCATTCTGCAGTTTCTTATTTAACTGTACAAGCGCCACACATGTACAGGCGGCGTGCTTGTAGCGTCGTAGGCTTTTAGTCTTTCAGTGGACTTCAGCGCAAAAATTCTTGAGCGTTTTCTAATATGTAATGCCCAACGCAGTACAACTGTAATAGACCTTAGGGTACAAT